TAAATACTTATCCCTTTAAAGATCTCGATGTCTCTTTTTCTCTCTTCGGTGTCTTAAGTACCAGGTTCTCTTTTTTATCGATTTTTATCCCCCTCGACGTAACATCTTTCTACGAAATAAATTAGCTGGTCGGATTGATCGGCCATTTCCGATTAAGTATCGAGTAACCATTTTCTTACACGGATTTCCTCGATTTAATGCCAGAGCTGTGTAATCTTAATGCAACATAATGGACAACTTCGCGACGGTATCAAAGAATATATAACAAACGGTAACTACCTACTTATGGAACAGGAGATGTTTCAGCCTCCGTGGAAAAGTAGGTACCATTGATACCCATTTCGTATCGTTTTTTAAGCCGTAAGGTTTTCAAAGTTGGCGCTACCGCCCAACCCGGTGGGCGTTAAGGAAATCTGAGAGAGCGTTCTAGTTATTTTATTTTCTTTAATTTCAATTTAACTCTTTTAAGATTCAAATGTTATATACACAACTAAACTTGAAAAGTTTTGTATTATAGAAATAGTTTACTCGAAGGGAGCACCGAACGAAAGAAAAACTTTAAAAGAGCGATGATGACCCAAAGGACTGGAAAACTATGGTTCAAACGAAGATTGATGGTCAGAGACAAGATCTGCGACGCAAATATTCGATTGAAAATCGCAAACGTTGTATGCCGGGCGACACGTGGTTGCATAGGGACGCGCGAACGATCGTCGATCCGTTGATTCATCGCGCGGTTACATCACAATCACGCGAACCGCGCACGCTTCGCGGCGGGCCTCCACGCGCGACACTCGATAATGTACATAAGTATATACATACATACTTTTCCGTCCGTGAAACAGGAATTCCTAGATCGTCTACGGAGGTCGCCAACTGTACGGTGGATCGCGTGCGTTCACGCCTTTTATTCCTGTAGATTTCCCAGGTTTTCCGATTAGACGGAATATACGGTGTGATATACGGAATTGCCATTTCGCACGGGTCAACGAATAAGCGCCGGGATTCCTCGTTTGATTCATGTCATTGAATGCGTCCCCCTCACCCCTCCCTCCACCGAAGTTTAATGAAAAGCATTAACTTCGTCGCGTTTCAGCATGGATGACCCCTAGTGGTAATTCCCCCCTCTCATCCTCTGTCTCCCTCTCATTCGCTTATTCGACATGAGGAGCAACTTTAACCACGCGAATTTTTCCGTTCAAACATACGCGATCGTACACCAGCAGATAAATAATTACTGACAACGACTTGTTCTTCTCGAACGTCGATTTACTCATAAGCGCTCACCACACCAAGTTCTTTGATCCGCGACAAGTTTGAACCACCACGTACCCTCACGAGCAAACTCGGCTTCCGCTAGAGGAAAAAGTGACGTAGAGGAAAGACCTCCTATCACTTGACCTCAGGAGTTACTGAAATTTATGCCAAATTAACATTCGGTTTAACATTTGTTTCAGCACTTGAAATAAATTTACCAAATGGTAGGAGCAGCTCTGCCGCGCGCCCCTGGTGATTTCGATGCGTGGAGAATCAATGCCGGCACGAAATGCGACGCTCCACGGCCGGCATTGAAATCACCTGAATTCAATCAGTTTTCCGAGGCAACGACCGACTGGCAAGCAATTAAACCCATAAAAAAACGCCGAGCATCTAGCATACCGTTTGCATGCTATTCAATCCACATGACCGTTGTTATCCGTGGTACTGTATTTTTAAAGGTATGTACACATACTGTTGTTTGTCTTTGTCTCAACGGAACATTCGATTATCTAATACCGCGATAATCTTGATTGTGTAGTTATCCGCTCATTCATAACCAAAGGCATCCCGTTTAACATACTTTTGTTTCTCCGTGCAGTAACTAGATCCGTCGAGCTCGCCGGCAAAAACGGAGCCCACCTCTCTTCTATCGGTTACGGAATCAAATCGTTAGAAACATTCACAGACTGCTACAATACATTCTATACTAGACTGCTAGTTCCAAAGTATCCATAAGAAAATACATACAGACATCCAATTAAATTAATTATTATTAAGTATTGTTTTAGCGCATGTGTAGAAAAATTTACTTTAGTATATGCTTTTTGAGGACATTTTATGTATGTAAGTGAAATTTGGGAAGTCAGCAGTCTAAATAGTATATGCATAATGTAGAAGTCTGTGGTAGCATTCCACACCGTAATTATGGGGGCTACCAAATGAAAAACAAGGATGCTTTTCCTGAAACGATCTTACCTGTGTCGGTAAACCTGGAAAAGTTTACGCACGAGTTTTCTTTGTTTCGCGACTGGGAGCTTTGTCAGTAAAGAAGAGTGAAATCGCTTTCGTTGGCCTCCGTTTCGCGGGAAGGTCCTTTCGATTTCGCGTTCAACGCAGACTGCATGTTTATCTGGTAAGGCCGTGGATCGTTTATCGATTTTAATTTGAAGCAAAAATACGACTGAATTTTACATAATCGCCGGCATTCCATCGCGATGAGGCTTGAACAAACAGCAGAGACCCATGTTAACAAGAAAAAATACCTGTTAAACCAATTATTCTATTTGTCCGTGTCTCGTCACCGGTCCATTCGAAATAACAATTTTTTTCTTTCGATCACGCAGAAACGACGCTTTCTCTGAAAGCAACAGCCATTCAAAAGCATGTTCGAGAGCCTCGATATTTTACCAGCCGATGCGTTGAGACGCTCCATGTGGGCAGTCCGAATGTTCTCGCTGTCCGTCCCACGCGAATCGCGCAGTCGTCGCGTATCCGCGCCAAATCCAGCATCGATGTCTACCTTTTCGAAGAAAGAAACAAAAAAACCGAACATAAACCAAGTCAAATTCTATCGAGAAGGCGCGCAAAATTTTTCCTTGCGAATACATTTGTACCGCGTGAATATTTCCTTCCTCGATGCGGGTCTTCTATGGGTGGTTCGGAAAAATCAGTTAAAAAGTGGAAATGCGACCGTACCTGCATCATAAGAAAGACAGAACGATCAATTTATACAATCGCGATGAATCCGTTATGGTAAATTGTAAAATAATCCGCCCAGGGTCTTTTAATTCACCGCTGAAGCTGTATCCTTCTACCGATTTCCATCTCTTTCTCATCGGATTACACCGTTTAACCTCGAGGAAACTAACCAATCGCGAAGTTCTCACAGATCATCTCTCCGATAATGAATCTGCGTGATATTCTACGCTTTATGGAATTATACTCGGCATTAAAACGGCCTCGTCCTTCAATTAAATATGCTCCCGGCTGTTTCCCGTATTATTCACGAATGTTATCGATTTTCATTCAGGATTACGTGAAATCCAGGGATCCACCGAAGCGAAGAGGTACACATCCTACCCCTACCCCGAGGCATTCAGGACGTTATACATAGTGGATCGCCGCGTCGCAGGTTTTAAAAGATGTTCTCGCCAGAGATGGGCTGGGAACAGGAATAGCAACGGTGACGTAAGCGCCCAATCTGTACACAAGAGCACGCGTATACGCGCGTCCGCACCACCGCGCACCACACACCTGAGTTCCATACGTGCGCATCCGTGTGTGTGTGTCTGTATGTGGTGCGGTGATTTCACCGTACGCCATCGTCGCGGCGGCGACACATCGGTTCACAGTCACCACTGCAAATAGCCGAAGAAATTGATGACAAGCGCGGTTTTTCACTTGCGCGAACTTATTCGACTTCCCCCGGCGAAAACGAAATCACTTGGATTTGCGGCAACAGACTTTCGTTTATCGCTGTTTCCCTTGTCGTACAAATTGAACCTGTTTGTTTTCTCACGCAACGCGCGTATAATTACTCTAATTCTTTTCGAGCTAGGAGGATAAATTACTTGACTCCAGCATTGGTTTATTTCTAGGAACTTACAGAGAAGAAAAACGTAAAAGACCATGTACCTATTGCTCGTTACTTGCTTTTAATTTTTGCATCGTTTCAATGCGGGCAAAAAAACTCTACGAGTTTATCGGTCGGATCGCCGTTGCCTGGACTATTGGAACCGAACAGGTGTATTGCACAGTGAGTGATTCGTGTCTGGAATTGAAATTGAAATTGCTCTAACCGGCGCAAAATCGACAGTTTCACCTGAACGTTCGCTTTTGTAAACGGGGTCGCAAAATGACGGAATGACAGAGAGTAGGTGAACACACTCACGCTCGTGTCCGATTCCGATGTTCGGCGTTCAAGGTAACACGGTGAACAGTACCGCAAAGCGACCGGATGCATCGACAGTAATTTTTATCCGGCGTCAAATCGGTTTGTCCTTCGACGTTGATTCGTCTAACGAAAGTCGAGGTAGGCTAATCGAAGACGCATCAGCGATCGGACAACCGTGGGACGCGCTCGTGGTAAAGAGCACGTCCACGATCAGATCTCGTTCGAGATCGACGAACGACCTTCGGGGTGGTCGTGCCGGAGGATCGATCTGAACTCGAGGGGACTTCTTTCTTCTTTTTTCGCGACGCGGCTAGCGAGCACCAAAGAGACCACCGCGAAGAATGATTTTCGTGGGAGAATGGATCAGCGTAGGCTAACCGCGTGTGGGTAGGCTGGCCTTCAAAGTCCTTCGGTGGAAAAGTAGGGACCAGGATCGACGTACGCGTAGGCCTGCAGTAAGTGGGAGGACTGGATCAAAGGCATCTCTGCCATTACGCGTAACTGTACCTTACGACCATCGTGAAAGTCGTCGTCACGATCCGCTATCAAACCTTCCATGATCTGTACCTATACTATACCTTCGACCGTTTCCTTTTCTTTTTGTCCTTTGACCTGAAAATTTGTGAATCGTGTTTGAAGGATAGGATGACAGACAACGAAGATATCATTCAGATAGATACTTTGTTATTATATGAAAATTTTTCATTTCTTTTTTGTTGAATTTACATCCGTTTTGAACCCAATCGACATAAAAGGGATAACCATGAATTATTATTTATAACGTGTCTAGTTAGAATGATGCGTATATACAACAAAATATATTAAATGTTAATTAGGCAGATTCAATTTGTTTTTTTTTGCGTTCTTCCTTGCGTTTCTGTTTCTCGGCTTCATCGTGGAGACGCCTCTTCTTCCGAAGCAACCATATTTGCTTGGACCTCTCCTCACGACCCTTCATCATACTTCTGTACAAGCTTCGGTGTTTCTTCTTGATCATGCGCTCTCGTAATCGATACTCTTGTTTCTCTCGTCGACCCTTTTCCCATGGATCTTCTTTCGTTAATTCGCCGGTTTTTACCTTCATTCCTTTTTTCTGTAATTAACAAATTATTTGAGTAACGAAACGGTATTAGAAATTGTTGAAAAAATGTATTGGTAATAAACATACCTTTTGCAATCGACTCTGTTCCTTCTCGTTTTGTACTTTTGACAGTTCTTCTTCGTTGTTTTTTTCTACCTTCTTCAATTCAATTTCATCTGTGCCTTGCTGTTCCTCCGCAGACTCATTTTCTTCCTTCTCTTCATCTTCGTTTTCTTCTTCTTCTTCTTCTTCTTCAGATTCGCTTCCTTCTGTTTAATAAAATCAATGGTAATCTCTACTATTCACTATACATTGCTTCTGATTATGTTAAGACAAAATATATACCATCGTTTAATTTAAAATCATGATTCATAAGAGCTCGTTCCTCCGGCGGAATGTACGCCTGATCATGCCGGCTGTCTGAGAAAGGCGAAAGATGGGGCGGAAGCACACAACCCATTAAATACTTTTCCACGGGTAACAGCTCTCGGGCATTAACTGAATCAAACACCCACTGAGGTTGTACGTAATATCTGTGAAAATGTTAGTAATTACTAAACAACTGATAATCAACTAAATAGCAAAATAAAGAAATTAAAAATTACCTAGAAATATACTGTTTGGTCATGCTAGGTCGGTCTACTATATGATGAGTTATAGTTTCGTCGCTTTCGTCAAATGTTGCTCCAACAAAGAGCAATTTATCCCAAGACACTTCGGCTCCGAAACAACGTAACACAAAGACCAATGGTTCTCTTGGTACTTCTCTATTCAAAAAAACTTTCAGACCCTTAAATAATGTTTTCAACTTTTTAACTTTTTCTCCTTCCATTTTTGCTTCTTCCAATTTCGTGGCATCGCCATCCTGAAATAAAAAGAAAATGAAATATCTAAACAGTGATTGTGATTTAATTCATACTTACACTTGTAAACTGATCCATCTGTAAATCTTCATCTTCTACATTCTGTATAGAAGGATCCAAAGTTGTTAATGATACATTTAATGCACTTATTCTTTCCGATACATAGGTCTCTTCATCCATAAGTGTCTTTTCGTTATGTTCTGCAAATAAAAAATTAACATTATAGGAACATAAACTGTATTATACGTCTTAAACTGTAAGAAAAAGTATCTTACCACTAGTAGTGAGTTTAGGTGGATAATACATATTAAGTGTGTGATAAAGTCTATAATTAACAAAGCCTAACATTATAATATAGAATTCCACAAATATAGACATAATTTTGAAGTCCACCTCATTCTTTGCTTGAGGCTCAAAGCAGAAATGATGTGGTATAATCCATGTAATTGTTTGGCCCTTAATTTCAGCTTGGTAATAGTATCCCTTAATAGACACAAATATTTTACGTAGAGCCTTAGCAGCAATTACAGCATGTAAAAATTCTACTGTTAGTCTTCTGCACAATAACGACTGATCCCTTGGTATATGTCTAAGAGATGGAAATGTGCTGAACAAGAAACACAATGTCAAACAATCATCTAAATCTCTGAGTGCATCGATAAATGTTGGGTAACGTTCTTTGACAAGATGATCCAATTTTAAAGTGGGATGATTCTTTAAATATCTTTTCATGTCTGAAAATTATGATCTTTGATTGCAACTATGATGGTATTAGATTGACTTAAAGTACCTTATGTTCTCTCAATTTCCATATTAGTGGCTCATGCATTAAAAATTGAATATCCTTCTTATGATATAGCGTCTTGATACCAGGCTCACCCTTCTGAGCTCTCTTACGATTACGTGGTTCCCTTGGGTATATTCCTTTCAAAATACATAGTCTACGAAAGTCAGTCAAGGAGAGCTGCAATTTCTTCAAAGCAGCCTTCCTCGACATAAACTGCGCTCCTTCTCCAGATTGATACTACAAATTTCAAAATTCAGTTTAACAATATTTCTTCACATTGACTCAATGTAAACACAACCTCAACTACTTTGATATAATCATCAAGTAACAGAAGAAATATCACATTTATTGAATACCTTTTTCTTCCCGATTACAACCATTTTGGGTTGTGATTTTAATACAATTGAATATTAAAAAATTACATGAACACAAAAAAGGAACGTTGTAAAACTATTCCACGTGCTCTTCCACACTCTTCCAAGGAAACTAAAGGAAAACAAGATTGAAAGACTTAGAAACGTAAAGCAGCGCCACCTCATAACGCCAAGTGGCCAAATTAGTTGTAGCAGAGTAGAATGGAGTAGAAGCAATTCCGATTCAACTCTTGGCACAGACAGGTGGTAATATACATGATTACTAAAATAGTTCACTGGCAATTTTATTAATTTATTTTGATTGCGCACAGCACAAATATATACAAAGTTGCACATTAACATATCGTATTTATTTTTTATTCGTCATCTTCCGAATCATTTTCGCCATCACTTTCGTCTTCTAACTCTGGCATAGGAAAACGTAGTATTGCTGCTATCCCAGTTATAAGTTCTAGTTCTAAATACAATAAAATTAAGAACATTACACATATATAAGAAAAAACATACAACCTTAAATTGTTAATTATTAATTAAATATAACTTACGTTCGCCTGACACGTGTAAACTCGAAAATATTTTCACATCCCCACTGGAGTCTCTCACACTTTCAACTAATTCGACATATTCTTTCCTCAGAGCTACATCTTGACATCTAAATAGATTATAAAAGCAAGTAAATTAATTCAACTTAATCAAGAAGAAATGTTATTCGTTTACCTAAATAATTTGTCTGAAATTAGTAATGTTTCAACAGCTTGACCTTCAGCAGCTTTGGTTACGTGCTTCTTTCCATAAAACGCTCTAGAAGGATCAGTCTGTAGTATAGTATAAAATGTTTCCAAAACTTTCACTTCACCTGATGCCTTTGTATCCGAAATTCGGGAGACTACTGCTGGTTCAGCTAGGACTTCTATTAAACCAAATTTCAAGAATATAAAGTATTATTACATCAGTACATTCTGCTAGTTTGTTTAAAATCATTTCACATAATTCACCTTTTAATGAGTGTTTGAAACCTGAACTAGAATGAACAAGCAAGAATTTACCCTTGTTTTCTAGTATTAATTTATTGTCCGATTTTATAGCTTTTTCTAGCATGTAATCCATATATTGGTCCTTTACAAACCCAGGGCTAGCAAGAATAATGCATTTCACAATATCAAAATTTATGTGTCTCAAAATGCCTTGCATGATATTTTCGTAAAATCGAGCTAAACCCTAAAAATTTTCCGTTACACTCATGTTGCATATAAGTATGAAAAAAATGTATTTAAAAGTAAGGCAATGAAACCTTTTCATGCTGTGAAACATTTCCTTTCCTTTTTCTAGGTATAACTTGGTCTATTTTAGCACGTACTATTGTCATATTAGAAGTTATCAAGCAAATATGAGCTATGCCTTCTTGCATTACCACAGCTGCAACATCTGCATTCTAAAATGAATCATTTAATTTTCGTAATTAAATGTACATGAAACAGTGTTTTACTATTATTCCTAGCAGTACAATTTCACCTGTGTGGGATCACATGCAGTATCAACCCTTTCTAAAGAAATGGAATCCCATTTAGCTTTAGTGATTTTGAATTTTCGATTTTGCTCTACATCCAATGTGTGATAAGCGCCCATCTATAAAGAATCACATCTGTATACTGAACATGTTTTTGTTTACAGATTTTTACGATTAGAGACATATTACCTTAACATATTTATTCTCTTCTACATTTCTACCCTTCAGTCTTAAGACACAGGCCTGTGTATCAAAATCAATGCCTTCAACAGATATTGTAAGAGTAGTTCTGACTCTGAAGTTATTAGAACTACCTGTTGAAGATTCTGTTTGCACTTTTCTACAAGGAACAAAGAATAATATATTTTATTGGATTTTTCAATGTTGGTTGCATCATAATAAGCAAGAATCATACCTAATTGTGGAACAACTAACAAGGTCCCCTTCACTAATGAGATTATATGCATGCCACATGTCTTCTGTGTTTTCTGGGACAAGGGACACGCTCCTATTAATTTTTTTCATTTTTAATATCCATATTCCGTGATAAAAACAGTCTTTTACTACTAATTCACTCACCCTTCTCCATCTTTGTCAACAATTCTTGATACAAGCTTCATTTTTTGCAATTCACATACGTATTATATCTAAAAAGGGAAATATTAAATTTCGTATCAGTTTGAGTCTGATCAAGTTAGTGATCGTTGGAAAGCACATAAAATTTATTGTTATGTTCGTTTAGAAACGTTGTGGTCTGTCCCACGAAGCATGTTTCGTAGTAGTGTTAATATGTAAAAAAAAAATTAAAAACGAAAGGAAATGCAGAAAGCAATAAAAATTTATTTGAAAGTCTTTACAAATCATGTTACCTATTCGGTTAGAATCTGTGATACCATAAGTTAGGTTAAAATCGATTCCGGTTACCATTTAACAGTTTCTATTAAGAGTCGTGTAATTACCTCAGAAATAATTGCACGGATTAGTATTTAAAAAAATCATACATTCCATGTTTTACGCTTGATTGGAATGATGTAAAATAAATTGTGCCATATGTCAAACATGATACTTTTCCGTCGATCGGCAGTCCCATTCATGGTTCGATTACCGAATTCAACCGAATTATTCCGAAAGTAAGTTCGCAGATGGCGTGAAAATGAAATTCTCTACACGATCCTTTAAACAATTTAGCCATCTAGCAAAAAAGCCGATTATTAATCGGCTAGTAGCTTCGGCATATTGTGGTAGATGGCGTTCTAAGTCTTCTTCATGTAGGGGTGATCTTGTTCAATCTTGGTGACTAATTTTCAAAAGTCAGTCTATCGAGGAATGTGGTATAAAGCAAAGTACAAAACATGCGTAAATTACGATTGCACCTTGTTCCAATGCTATTAGACTATTCTTTGAATCTCCTTGAATCGATGTCATGTGTGAATCATTATTAATTGTTGGATTTCTAATTACATAACGGTTAATTTTTTTCGTATGCAAAGAATCAATGTGACGGATCTCATAGGTACGAAGATGGCGCGCCAGCGGCGCGTCACAGGTAAACGGAAGGTGGCACCCCCAAACGGTTATCGGGGAAAACGGTTCCTGTCTATACCACGGTCGCACAGTTTCTTCGGGCATTCGGTGACTCGAAGTCATCCGGTGGAATCATGGTGTTCTTGTTCGGTGCTTTCGCGTTTCGTAAACACGAGGGAACGTGTTAGTGTTAACGCGCGTTTCAAACTGCCTGTGAGATAGTGAAGTGTCGTTCAATGTCGGATCTTTCGGGAAAAACATGTTACGATCGGAAGTGACACATGGCGTGCAAGCGTAAGCATGCTTGACACACCACGATGCAATTGCAAGATTAATATTAAGTCTTCTATTCTCTGTCGTAAGAAGGGAACTCTAATCCTGTGAGACCACGTTGCACGTGCCCATCGAACATGTCTATGAAGGTAACTTCTTTCCTTTGATTAAAATGCGACTATACGCGATCGTGAACGATTTTCAACGTGACCGTGTTTTACATTAAATTTTCATACCGTGCGTGTAAATACATACGTATAATTGAAAATAGAGCTGACCGTTTTAATGCACCCGTAAGATAAGAGTTTAATTGTACTGATATTCAGTGCGGTAACTGTCCTTTCACGACTTAAATCCTAATAACAATTGAATGGAGGTTCTTTTTTTAATTTTGATACGAAAGCGAATTCTAGATTCGACCTTACCATTTTTGATATTTAGTCTGCACAATTTCGTGGGAGTATAATTTGAAAGAAATATCAGACTTCGTATTTGTGTATACATCGAATAATCAATGGGAAACTGTGTTAATTGTATCGGTTACGTGGCGTTTCGCACAAAAAATGCAGAACTAGGTGAGATCAGGATAACTTTACAGAGGACTGATGTCATTCGAGGTAATCAATTTTCAAGATCCTTGTACTCTTGATCTCACGATACTCGCTACATCGTCTTACGGATCGATGTTAATATATTGGGATTTGCAAACTTTCCATTAGAATGGAATCTTTCAAAAACAGGCGGGAAAGATAAAGTTTGAATTTAACATACCTTTATGTCAGTCAAATGTTCTCCACGTTATTTGCATTCTGTTGATCTCCAAATAAAGCCAATGCTGCGTTACACTGTGGTTTAGACAATTATGTGTACTGTAACTGCATGAAATCCGCAATCTATTTACCAGTTCCGTATCCTTATTTCTGAAATGTGATGGGCGTAGCAAAGAAAGCAAAAAAAAATGGGGGGTTAAGGTAATGCGGAGAAGGAAGGTAAATGAAGTGTCCTGCACCAGGAAATATTTTCTATATACTCCTAGGGATTAACAGGCAACCACAGATGGCCGTGATCGTACAATACAAATAATCAATCGAGACGCACGAGACTGTCTTTTTTTTGTTCAGTGCATCGATCGTACACAAAGCACGATGACCTACAAACATGCGTCGCTGAAACAAAAAGCGGGACATTGCACTCCGACGACCGACGTGCGATTTATATGTACATACAGCGAACAAAAAACATATTTACTTTGTCTTTAAAAACAAAAACACTATTTGCAGTTTTCTTTCCTATATATACACATATATCAAATTCAAGGTTTTGCAAATGGATTCAGACTTTTAATGTTCGGATTTCACGCGAATAATACGTCGATTACAGTTTCTTACGATTATCGGTTTACATTCTAATCACGATTTCACATGTGTGTACCACAATTACCCTGCCCGCGCCCAGTTTCAATTAGTGTTACGTCGACAACTAAGCCAGTCTCTACATTCCAAAGGTGGTCCGTGGTCTAAAGATATTTGAAAAAAACCATGCGTGTAAACCGGTGAAATTGTGAAACTAGGGCGCAATCCCGAGTTTCACGAGAACAATTTCAGTTATAGTCTCGGACGCGATACACGGTTCATCCACCTTCCTTGATGATGATTGCTTAATCGATATCCCGCTGACGGATGCCCGTAAACTTGGTAAAAGTGTATAGAACCAGGAATAGAAGAACGGACGTGTGCCGATTTACCGTTCTGTATATGTACTTCTTTCATGAATATAATCTTATGAAAGCTAGCCCACGAGGTCTTAATGAGGAGAATCGTATACAACTGGACAATCTCTAAGTCTCTTGTAACGTCCCGCGACTCGAACATTCCATTCATATTATACAATTTCTTTTCAGAAAGAATCACCATGGGACGTGGAATTGCATTTGGCGGCGGCACGCGGCGACGCAAAACGTCTCCAGATCCTTTTGGATTCCGGACGGGTCCACGTCGACTGCAAGGATAAGGTGAAATCTAGTCTTTGAATGATAGAATATACTTGGAAATCTTCAACGCCTTGTCTTCCTAAACACTTCATTAGATGTACTCTTTACCTTCCCTTAGATAATCCACTTGTAATTTATAGGTATTCCGTTATCTCACAGGAGTTTTGGTACTTTCCTTACATCTACACCTACCCATTAATCGAGAATTACATCCGGTATACCAGAGTCGGAAACTAATATTATGGCGTCTAATCTGGTGTCTGTTTGTTACTATAATGTGCACACACAATATACATAAATACATACCTGAGTGCGCAGGCGAATCCGTGGATCTTTGAATCATCAACACCGGAAAAGAAACTCTTTCTTCACCCACGTATCCCTACGGGAGTCCGTAGACCCCGGAGGGAATGATTTACGAGGCGCCGATCTCCCCGGGTCAGTCGAGACTCATTATGCAAACGGTCGCGGGACGCTGCAAAAAGAACGTGGTTCGTGGTAGCAGCTCGTGTAACATTGCTGCTTGTCGCGAAAGTGGTTCATTAGATCACCGTGTGGATACGCATTGCTGCTCCACATTACCCCGAGCGTGGACAGTAATTCGAAGGTGTAATTCGGATTTCGATCGAGCCAATACGCCCGGTTATTTTTAGACGTTAAAGACACTCCCCGTGCGTCTTCGGTAACTTGGAAACGATGACACGAATTAGTGACGGCATTAAACGGCCGCCCGTTGGTATGTCCTCCGCTGGGTTCGCCGGGGGGTAATCGCATCAATTGAGAAGGAGTTACCGACAACAAATGGCCCGTTATTACGGAGATCCGCGAAGGCAGCGATGACGTGATTCGACGAAATGTAAAAGGGAAAATGACAACAATGTGCGCATAATTGCTAGGAGAGGGGGAAGATCGAGCGAATTGCAAGACAGATTTACGACAGCTAATTGCTATGCTTAACGATGCCCGATGCGAAACTCGGCCCGTTTAAATCAATTAGAAAGCAATGCCGAGTTCTCATTACGAAGACCATATCGAGCGCGAGCATGCAGCGGTTCTGTTTCGCTGGGATCGAGATTTGGCGGAGGAACTAGATCCAAAGCTGTACGAAAACGAATCTGTATAACAGAGTTTAATATGTATATAGAAATTTCTCAAGGGTGGTAATCGAAGCATTTCTTGACACAACCAAAAAAATGAGCTTAAAATAGACTTTAAAAGGGTAGAAGTTATATTAGTTAAGTGGTATTCGAAATAGGAATTTTTTTATAGATCAGAGAGTCTGACTTTGTGTTAAGTTTCGCAGTAGGGTGCCTAGATCCTGAACGGGTACTACAATTTATTAGAGTGCTCCCCTATTTTTTGTATCTCCCATTTGTTACGCCCAAGTTCTCTAACTGAAATCGGCGATTCGATGTGTATCCACCAGTCAGGTTATTGACTTCTTCTTCTTCTTCTTCATTTTTCCAGGATGGGACGACACCTTTAATTCTGGCCGCGGCCGGAGGGCACATTGAGGCAGTCACCGAATTGCTACAACAAGGGGCGGATCCTAATGCCAGAAGGCTGGTAAGTCCTGACCACGCGCGTGTATACATACACGTAGGTATATTCGATCCATGAATGAATACTCCGAGAATGAATGGATCTTTCGCTTAGCACGCGCGCCCGGCGGCGTCCTCGCAACCCCGTTACCCACTCACCGGAAACGCTTTTTTTTCACACGACCATCAGATATCGGTGGGGATTTAATCGATCCCTTCTGGAATTTCACGAATCTCCAGCCTTTTCAATATTTCTTAAAATACTTCTGCCCCTGCATCCTTGGATATTATTTCTCAACCTTTAAGTAACTAGCAACATTCTCTACCTTTGCTGTTCAAATATGTTCTCCGAAGAATTTACTTGAAATCGAGCACAAAGAAGTATCCATTGTATGCTATAACTCAGATTTGTCGATTATCTCGGTACATCCAGTTTTCATAAATATTCATAACCAACGAGTAAATGACGTTTCGCAGCCGTGTACACACAAAGAACGTGTTGATAACATTCTATATTTGTCGTGACGATCACTATCGCCTTATATCGCGTGGAACGATAACGATGCCTTGGAAATCGTGGTTCGTTCGTACGATGGGGGTGAACGGGCCCGTGACTTTTTCGAAAATCGAAACGACAAGACTCCCTTTATCCGGTTACAAAGGAGACGCAGAAAAAAAAACGCTTTGGGAGCGGTATCAAGCACCAGGAAGCCGTCGAGTGGCCCTTTTTAAGTGGCTCTGTCGTCGATTTATCGCTGAGCCCGCGTCTTTTCTTGGTGCGTTCCGTGCCATCGAGAATCGCGGGTATTGTATGCAAATCCGTGTATATAACACGGTGTGGCGAGCAGACAATTTTTCTGGCGACATCCGGTCGAAACTTCCATTAAGAGTCGGGAAATTCGTTAATTGAGTCATCGGGGTCCCATCCGAAATGAGCGATCTACGAGTTCTGTCCTTTTAACTCTCTGTAAGTTGCTGAATGTTTTTCGGATAATATTTAAACTACCATTAAATACAAGGCAAATAGTATCGTAACGATTGTTTGTCTCAGAACGAAACAGAAGGAACGTCTCACAGGCGAAATTCCAAAAGATTCGATCACGCCTAGTCCTCTTTCTTTTTATATTTCCAACCACCGGTATACACAAACCAGTTGAAACCTATCAATGCTTACCGTGAAGGAGAAAAAAAAAAGAGGTTTCTTTCCGGTTTCCAAGATCGAATCGACGCGATGACGCCCGACAAGAACGCGAATTACGCAAACATACGTATGTACGTCGGGACCGCTAAACCCGTCGACCCATTACACAATCGTCGCGGCACGAGTTCGAGAATTATTTTTATTAGACGACTGGCTTTTGATGGCTGTGGTTGGCGGAACGCAAGTGGGGCGGCTCTTTCGCAGAGTTATCTTAATGAATTCTTAAGCACAGTCTCGATTATCGGGCTTGAGAGAGAGAGAGAGAGAGAGAGAGAGAGAGAGAGAGAGAGAGAGAGAGAAAGTCAAACGATGAAAAATTATCGAGATCAAAAATCTGCATGGAACAATTGCAATTAACGGCAAATCGCTATTTCTATTTCTGCCGGCAAGTGGTTACAGTGCGATTATTCGAATAGACTATAGAGTTTCTATCTCACGTCGAAAAATTAGTGCAATACGGTAGGAGCATTGGTCCTTGAAGCCTCTGAAATTCCACGGTATTATTCTCCCGATTTATTTTTAGAAATCTTTTTGCGGCCTGTTTCCGTCACTATCCGATGCATTATAAAACGTTCGATTACAAAGTCTTTCGAAATTAAACACAGTGACTCTGAACAGAGAGGAGACACTGCAGACAATTGATCAATTAGAAGAAAATTCACGATGACGATGCGTTCAAAGATCCGCTGAAGTCGCGACGAGGGTCTAATTACGAACAGATTCACGACGGTCGGTTAGCCATAGTGTTTCTCTAGAGTTTCTAAAAATCACCCGACCTGGATTGAATACATTTTGCCACGTATTGTATCTACAGACTGTTTTCATAATATATGGACATTATTTCAGAACTGACACTGGCATTCAATAATACCGAAGAAACTTGTAGCGAGAACTATTGGAATACATATTGGGGTATCACTTTTCGATTTACCTCTTTTGTGAAAATTAACACATCCTGTATGGTATCTGCTTCGACAAAATCAATCCCGGGAAAAATAATACGATGTGTGTCCTCTTTTAGACTTTCAACTGAGCACGCGAACGATGTAGGGGGGTTCACTGACCCGGACCCAGAGATTCCGCAAAATTTGGAACCAGTTCACGTGTACATAGATCAGTGTCTGTACGCCAACTCTTTTTAACACGTTGACTGCCATGGTGGTCCCGGATGACCGACGCCATTAATTACAACTTTTTGGACGACCCAATACTTATATTATTGTTAATACCAAAGAACCGAACCAGAGTATCGTATCGTGATACTGTCCCAAAAGTAAAACTGTGGCATTCAACGTGTTAATAGCCAATTGATCCTTGATGTAACCGACCACATGTTATGAGACAGCTTGTATCTACGCTGCGGCAACGTGTGTTCTGTATTTTCAAGGTCGTCGAAGCGGATCACGGTTAGGTTGCACCGAGGTTCGCGTGTTCCCGGCGCGTTTCAAAGGCGCGACGTCTGCCGTAATATGCAACCACCAGGCGTGCAACACACAACTCACGTGGATCCTTGTGTTTGCGAAATCCCCTTGGCGCGCGCGATTCATCTAAATGCGAATTCACCTGGTATATCTGTTCGAAAATCGTGGGCGAGTTCGTGACACACCGATCCCACCTGTGCCGCGCGACGGTTTGGCCTCGTTTTCCGGGGGGGAACGGACTTTCGACCGGTTAAATTGCACTTTTTGGTCCGTATAACCGGCCGGAACGCTGCGGTATCGAATTTCGGAAGCGGATTTCTATCCCGAGTCCCCTTTTGTTTCGTGACGGAGGTCGATCGTCGTTGCACGAAACACCGTCGTGTGTTATGTATCCCTTACACGGTGAAATAACAAATATTCGGTTCATCGGTAACGAGCCTTGGAAAACCAGCTACCAAACTTCACCGGTCGCGCGTTCCTAAGAGTTCCAAATAAACTAGCGGCCTTCGGGCACGCGAGACTGTTGTTCCCTATCGCATTAAAATACCGTGCGCGCTTGGAAAGCGGATTACAGCAGGAAGTAACGAGTTCATTATAAATCAACGATGCACATACACCGCCCGCCCGTTGCTGCATCAGCATCCTCTCCGCTAAACGATGAAAATTAATTGCTGCGCCATCGTACGACGCGTGCTCACCTATGGCAGAATACATACATATATGTTTAGTAAAATGTATAGTATCGAGTGTAACAATTCAGTAATCGATTATTTGTTGCCAAATCAACATGTGCTACCTCCGTGGAGAGGTGTTCTCCAACATCCTGCGTCATATTTTTTAGCGTGACAATGGCTTCAGACCTGAATTTTCTTTTAAGAGTAAACAAAATATTTGTTTACGCATTTTAACTCAGTAGACTGTTTAGATGCTATTTTGTTTAACAAAGATTGTTTTTAATTTTTAAAAAGGTTTTGTTATTCAATTCTGAATTCACTAGACCTACTAAAAACATTCAGAATATGAACAAATTCAAATTTATAAGAAAAATATGGATCTACGACACACTGTACCTAAGGCTTTTAACTTGAAGGGGTTAACACTGCATCCTCGTCTAATCACGAAAAATTATTTACTAGTACACCTGATATTACGTTATTTTGTTAATATGACGATTCTCAGGTTTTATCTAGAAACAATAAGCGACACGTTTTGTTATCTTTTATTCGTTGCACAAAACGTGTTATCTATAATCTATACTCTATACTCTATACAATAAATTCGCACGTCTTACTTCCATCACAAGCGAGCAATAAAACCGTCTCGAATATTATGCCCTTCCGTTGGATTTTTATGCGTTTCGGTAAAAAGCTTCAGCGCTTTTATTACCCGTTGTGTCTTGCAGACCGGCACCACGGCGCTGTTCTTTGCCGCCCAGGGTGGCTTTATGGACATCGCCGGTCTTTTGCTGGAACACGGCGCCACGGTGGACTCGTGCAGTATCGTAAGTTGTCCGAGTGAAACCGAAAAATTGTAAATATAGGAAATCATGAAATAGAAATTACTACATAATTTGTTTTTCTGCCCACGATTCCAGGACGGCGGTACCCCGCTTTTTGTCGCGTGCCAGTGCGGTCATCTGGACGTGGTCGAAGGACTGATCGAGAGAGGCGCGAATCCTAACGCTCATATGAAGGTACACCTACTCGCAAATTTTTTATTTATTCGCTCTGTTCTTGGTATTAATTGTCCGTTTACTAGGTGACAGGCAATTGGATCTACTAGAATTATTAGTTGGAGACCACGTGTGTGATCCAATTCTGAGAGAGGGCTCGGACGAATCAGGAGAGAGGGCGTAGAAAGTTGATCGTCTAACACTTACGCAATAGGGTAGAGCTTGAAAATAGTGAGAAGCGTTCTCGATCGAATAAATTCGTTTTATACGTGTGTTCGATAATAGAAGGAATTTCCGAAAAATCCCGAAGAACTATTCACGCGAGAAGAATTTCGTCCAAGATTTTAAATAGTCAGAAAAAAATGCCGTTGCTTTAAATGTCAGCCACGCCATCGACTCCCGAATAATTCGCGGCGCACAATCGGCATTTAAATGTCACATTCCCGCCGTGTTCCGCGTGCATGCGCGCGGGCCTCTCGAGCAGAGGATAGGCAATGAATTTCACATTTTATTGCACGTTACACCTTTCGAATTTGTTCCGCGTTATCGCAACTGTGCCGCGGGCCAATTTCTACCGTGGCGGTAATATCCGTCAATGACAGCGAGAGCGACACGGTGTGTCGATTAAAAAAAAACGCTTAAACGTGTTCTTCAATATCACATTCAAAGACTCTTATCGCCTGGTATATATCTAAGATAAAGTTTATAGTTTAGTTGACGTGAATTCTCTTCTGGTCATCGTTCAGAAATTCTCTCGATACTTTAAGGCCAATGATCCCCGGTGAAACCTTATCGATAGATAAGAAGGTTCGGTATCGTATACCAGTTGAGGAATCTCACCGAAAATCCCTATACTTGAACGGACAAAAGAGAGCTTTTGAAGTTCGAAGAGGCAGCTATTCAATAGTAAAGGAGAGAAAGTGTACTAATGCGTGTGTCGAGTATCCCCGAAAGGAATAACCCATCCAGAGCAATATAAACTGGACCCGGTTCGCCAGGAACATGCAGCACTTTCACTGACCATTCTTGCCTGAAAGCGTCAACCATTTGTCAGTCCGTGTCCCCGGTAAACCCTTCCTTTATTGGACGTATTTCCGTTCGACCGGGCAGAGAATCGGTAACATTGTTCGTTGGGTGTACGCGTTCCACGGAGTCCAGGTGTTCCCCGAACCGTGTCAAGCCAGGAGACATAATACCTATCCATTACAGAACCGCAGAAATTCTATAACGGTGATCAACCTGTTCATCTGGCCGTGGGTAAAAGTCACGTCGCGGTCACGGTAATTTTTCCCTCGGATTTTCCATCGACGCGATCGTGCGTATTGGTTCGTCGAGAAATCAATCTTTCTTGGAATTGAAAAAACATTATTTAAATATCTCTCATTTCGATTCACCCCGAGTGTTGCACGTAGTGACCCAGCACAGCGTATCTTCGGTTCTCAGATTCGTTTATTTTTGATCCGTCAGGACGGTGCAACCGCCCTCTTTATCGCGGCCCAAAACGGTCACGTGCGGATCCTGGAAGTCCTTCTGGAGCACGGAGCGAAGACGGACGCGGCGCGTACGGACGGTGCCACGCCTTTATGGATAGGAGCGCAAATGGGACACGATCACGTAGTGAGAAGGCTTTTGAAAGCTGGTGCGAAGGTCGATGCCACTAGACACGTAAGTCTTCGGAGCGATCAGGGGACAGGCAGGAATCTTGATTCCGTTATCGAGAGCTGATCGGATGGAGAACGGTCGCGATTCGAGTATCGCAGCGAGCCGCCGTTCCGCCGGTGTGTATATGTTAACTGCAGCTTCGTTTATAGGATGGAGCAACCCCACTTTTCAAGGCGGCTCACAAAGGGCACACCGCGGTCGTTGGGGAACTACTCAAATACCGTCCGTCGCTCGGTATTCTTCCTGTAAGTTTTGAGGATAGGATCAAAATGATCGCTTATATTTAGGCGTACCAGTGAGTTGCTTCTTTTCCATCCGTAAAATCGTCAACAGTTTCACTGATGCAACAGCCTAATGTATGTTTTAGAACGGTGAAAGCGCGCTACACGCGGCAGCTTTAACAGGACAAATGACTGTAGCAAGGCAACTCGTAGGAGCAGGAGCGGATCCTCTGCTTGTTAACCAGGAGGGTGTCACACCTCTTCAGTTGGCTATTAGGCACTCGCAGACACAGGTCGCTAATTATCTGAAGGATAAAATTAGAGCACGAACGGGAACGTCTTAGCAATATTATAGATATTTAATGCATAGGAGTAACAGAGGAAAATATACATATAGACCAGTGAGAGAGTGAGAGAATCAGTATTTCTAAAGAAAATGTAATATATTATTATACATACACATGTTACATGTTGAATGTGTACTATATTCGATACTTTATAAATAGAATGAACACGTGCAATCTTATTGTATTCCGTAGCATTACAAGATTAAAGTATACCGGGATGTTGATTTTTCTAATACGCTGTACAGAATTGTTGGTAGGGCACTCCATTGTTGTCTTAACGCGTAGCTGATATCGTAGGACCATAGTGATCTCATTCATCGGTCTGATCAACGACGTAAACGTCGTTTCTTCAACGTTATTTATGATTTAAAATATTTACACTGACTTAATAATGACGTCACACAATAACCTATCATACTACTTCTGTTATAATATTCATATCATACCAGCTAACGGTCATACCTATCAGTTACTTATCTAATGTATATACAATCAAAAATATACAAAGTACCATCCTATAGTGTAAAATATATTATAAACGCATTCTCTTGTTGTATATATTCTAACATCAACTTTGGAAACATTAACTCGTTCGATGTACCGTTGTTACGCATCGGAATTGTTTTTACAGTAGTACTATACATATACATATATTTTGTTAGAAATGGAACTGCAATTACATAAAAGTCTTCAACATAGTCGGATATAATATATCCGGTACCATTGAAAATTTTATCGTTTTCGTTCTAATTGAGAATTGTATAAGACTGACTGATTTGCCTTGGAATATACAAAATTGACGAATTTTCTAGTTTGATATCTATTTCTTCCTGTTGATTTATATAATATATTATTGTTAACGCACACATGGAACGTAAAGAAACGTCAACGTGAATATTTAGTTTTTAAACTATAGTCTAAGATAGTTAAACGTTTCAGTTGAACGTACGAATTAATGAGATATTTTACAGCTGATTGTTTGGTGTCAATTTACAATGTAATAAATACATTTATTGTTTTCCCAAAATATTAATGACCTCTTCTAGAAGACATGTATTAACTTACTAGTTGGGGATGTTTTACATTTCAGTAAATATACTCTAATTATGCACAGCATGAAATACGTGGTAACGTATAATTATATGTATATTATACATAAATATCGAACACTTTTTCCTTTGTGTGATATCACAGAAAATCTTTGTCAAAAAAAATTTGGTCAAATATTGGTTGAACTTTAAGTTTCGGCTGCACGTCTTGGTACAAACTTATAATAAAAAAAAAATGTTACATCTGAACATGTTTTACAAACAGCATTGCGATATTAAATAATTATTACTTTTCTTTACATACAAACGCAAAAACAATTTTAAAATTTCTAAAAACCTTTAAATTCAAACTAAAACTTCAATATTCTTCACAGATTGTTAACTTTATATTCTCTCGCGGAAAAGTAATATCCATATTCTGAACTAATTTGCACATTCATGCACCGTGCATACTAATGTTCTCACAAAAAAGAAACACTCGTATCAACATGTCGGAACGTTTGAAAATCATCTATGAAAATAGAACTCGTCGTATAAATAAGAAAATAAAAAAAAGTATTAGCGTCGGTAACGGAAAGAAAGGCCGAGAGAACAAGTCAAAGGTGTAGAATTCATGTTAAACTCGTCCTTGTATCCCAGCTGCTAAGTGCCTATTTCCTATTTCCATTTCAGATGCAAAGCATCGTCTAGTTAAAGTAATGCAGTTTAGCTGAGAAGTGTGTCAAACGATACTACTGTTCTACGATTGAACGGTATCCAATTAGAAGTTTACAATGTCAACGTCGCGATGAATTTTATCAATTATCACTTCTGCACCGATAAGATAGATAACACAGAACACATACTTCGTGTGCCGGATTCAGAGAATTATCAGTGACACGCTGATTCCCAAGGAATAGCGATCATGGTCCGTGATCGAATGCCAGATTTACGCGCCGTTAGTATACCATCGTTCCGGAAACTCTAGAGTGACAGTTACCACTTACACTGCAACATTAACATAAATAAAATTACATATTTTACACATCATTGAACGTAACTCGTCGAGACACACCATTCACCAGTTTAAAGGCACTCACTCAACTTTGCATTTCGCAATGTTTGTTTTAATTATTACTATACACATGCACGGATTAAAAGGCTTAAACTTTATGAAACATAACGGACGAATTTAAAAGAAAAAATATCATTTAAGAAATAAACGGCAATTTTTATAAAAACATTTTTATAAAGAAGATTGATATAGAATTGTACCTTGCCTGGAGCCTAGCGAGTTAATAATACAAGCGATGAAATTTACTACAAAAAAAAAAAAAGAAATATAACGAATTTTCTTCTGAAAACTAACTCAACTTTTTGGGTTCCGAACACAGTTCCAAATGTTTTATTTTTCAGTGACGAAACGAATGTACTACGTAACATTCCTTTTTCACTTTCTTTCAGTTTCAAACTAACAGCACCGCATTTGGTAGAGGATTTATACAAGATGTACACATCCAAATATCCCAGAATAAGAAACTGAAGAAAGTATTGGACGAAGTATGTATTCATATAGATACACGCGTATAATTAAGTCACCGTTAAAATATCACAGACTCTTACATTGGCAGTAGACATATAAATCATATTTATTCAGGTCGAAGAAGTTCGCGGTTTAATTCAGCTTATTAGCGACAACACAGCTATTGTAAAGGATCTGCATAATAACATACTTTCGTACACGAATAAAGGTGAGAAAAACATACTAAACGTTGTGCCTATTTGCTAGCTAATTGTTCGCATATTTCAGATATACAAAAAGAACTGGAAGGACGTACGTATGTTATCTCGCAAACGTCGTTTCGTATACAACGAAAATTAAGAGGTAGGTAATCTTTTGGTTACCTATAAATTTCAGCATAAATAAAAGTAGAGAAATACAAGTAATTTGTTTTATCTATCCTAATCAGACTCACTGTCAGACGGAATTTGAGAAATATTCCTTTCTATCATTCTACGTTGCATATCCAGTTTCCTAGCCTTTGAAACATGATCAATCGAATCATTAAATTCAAACTCAAAGCATCTGGATGTTTTTGGTGTACTCGTACTAGGACCAGGCACCGAAGGTGAAAACGGTCGCAAAATCGGCGTTGATGTTATAGGGTGCCAATCTTCAGTATTAGTTGCTGAAAGCAAAGGATTGAGACTGGGTGATGTACTCGTCGAATTTGATAGTTGAGCAATCGAAACACGTTCCAGCAGAACTGTAGGATATATGTCAGAAGTTCTTATATCCGACATAATAGTAGTTCTAGTCCGGATATTTGTTTCGGATGGTGAACGGTTTCCTTCTTCACTGGAATTCTCGTCATCGCAATTAATTTCTCCCATTTGTCTGGAATAAAGTATAATTAGTAAGCGATTAATAATGTACATATTATTAGATAATTATATATATACTTCTTGAATTGCTCCACTTCCTTCTCTAAGTTTGGGTATTCACTTAATATGTTAGATAATTGATCTTTGTTATATTCAAAATAAGTTTTAACCAAAAGTCTCTTGACATCGTTCTCCAATGGAGACTTTAAAACTGATAATTTTTTCTTCAGCTTTACTAATACAGGCAACAGAACTTCTAAGCCATGCTTTTTCATGCCTTCAGTAATAATAGTTATTGCACTAGCAACAGGTGTGATGGGTTGAGCCACAGATTCCTCAGACTCCTGTTGATCATCATCACCTTGTTTGTTAAGAGATGATGGTCTCAAACGTTCATTACTAATAACATACAATGCATCCTTTAAAACATATGCTCCTTCCTCTTTCTTAACATCGATTGAATCAACGCAGGTTCCACCGAGTATTTGACTAGTGATTTTTACAAGTAACTTAATCTTTCCTGGAGGATCTAAATGATCCAGCATGAAGTCGTATATAGTTCTTCGCTTATCTTCATTTCTTTTTCCAGGAAGTGTCAACGCATTTCTTTCTTTTTCACGCATTCTTTGATCATAGATTCTGTGCCGAGACTGATAATTATTATAATGGTATATACTTTGTAAAAACTGTTGTGATATTAAAGTTTTGTTCTTTGCCAGAAGTCTTTCTTCTATGAGAAAGATTGTCAATTCGCGTATCATATTGTCCGAGTCGGACAACATGGTCAGTATGTGAAAGAAAAACGGTCCCTTGATTTTTATGTAGTCCTCAAGAAGCAGCTGAATAAATATTACCATGATAGACTCTCTGACTTGTGGACTTGAGTCTTTCATACTAACACACATATCTGATAAGTAAGGTTCAACCAATGCAGTGAATCTGATACAAATATCAGCTAAAGCTTTTGCCGTATTAATTTTTACAGCAATTTGAAAAACTGAACTTAAATTTGTTTCCTGTCTCATTAATTTACCAAGTATTGGAACTACTTCTTTCGCAATCTCGCGATCCCTCATCGCTTGTTGACCAAGAATGACCACTGCTGACGCGTGTAGCTCCTGTATTTCTTTTATCGATTCTGGTAGTGCTTCCCATTCTAATAGTATTCCTTGCAGAATTCGTAATGTCAACGGTGAAATTTTACAACTACATAAAAGCGTAGCGTATCCTAAAGTAAACATAGCTTTTAAATAGTTGGGTGATGCTTCTATAGCTTGGTTCTCATTCTTAAAAATTTTTGTGATTTCTGCCTCAGACAGTTTTATTAAATCCAGTGCATGGGACTCCAGTAAAATGCTACTTTCATCGGGGTTTAAAAGATGTACTATATTGTGTATAATGTCCATGCAAGTACTGATCAAACCAAAATTGATTTTAAATTCTTGTAAACATTTATACAAGTAAACATGAAGGCATTCTAAGACTTCATTATCCAAGGCCTTCCAAGAATACTTTAAAACTTGCAGAACTAAACTAGTATGGAAATTGTTTTCTGCAAAAATTTCCTTATAATTTGAGATGTATTTGCTCATATTTGGAAGCTGGGTATTTTCAGCCAATGCTGTTAGGAAAATCCAAGCTCCTATGTTATTGCTTGTCCCGATGTGAGACTGTATAATCTTTACTATGGCATTAGTAATAGTACCATTCTTTACCCATAAATTACAAGCTTTTGATAAATGCCGTCGCATTTTCAAGTTAGTTAATGTATTTAAAATTTTCCAAGGTAAATTACTAGCTGCGTCGTTAGTGCTCTTAGAAAAAACTATTATCTTATTTAGTAATAACTCGCCTAAATAATCCAGCACCTTTTCTTGTACTTTAATTTCAATATCGAATATTTGTGGCATAACAGTTTGTACCCATTCATCCAAAAGTTGAGAATTATCTGGGAACTCTTGTAGAAGCTGCGACAAAACCTGTACGGCGTATCGACGTACAGTTAGAGTTGGATCTCTACACCGGCGACTAATTACTGGTATCACTTCATTCATCATTGTTGGAAACATTAGGACCAAGTTTTTAAAAATTTGCAATGCGCTTCTTCTTATCATTGCTCTTTCGTCCTCTATTCGTTCCGTCAGCATAGATAATAAAATATTTGAGCCTGGCAACAGGTCAGTGTTTTCGAAAAAAGCTTCTTTTAAATCTTCAGATGTGAGAAACTTTTTATCTAGTTCAGATCCTTCGAACATCGTTTTAAATATTACTTTATCCATCTCATTGTTAAATTCTGTGAACTCTGCAATTATAGCCATAGCTTTTCCTCTCACCATACTTGAACAATCCATGCATCTGCTTAGTACAACAGCAAGTAATACTCTTTTGGTTTTAACTTTCAGGCTATCGATTATATTGCAATCCATTAAAAATGATTCAATCAATATTTTTCCAATTATTTCTTGAGCAAATACCCTATAGGATATCTTGTTGTGATGTGACAATAGTATTACATTTCTAAAGGCTTCCAGTATGATATTCTGATTACATATTCCAAAAAGCTTTGTTAATACACCAGCTTGCTTTTGACGTGCTTCAAGCCTATCTGGACAATTCAACATCAAATGTTGTATTAATGTAATAATAGCAACTTTAGCATCTTTTTCATGTTTATGTAACAAAACCTTCAAAAAATGTATAGTACATTCACGTATACTTGTGATAAGTTTTATTTGTGTGTCTATGGGACTACACAACAGACGAGGTAATATATACTTTGCTATGACTGTTATAGTAACTTTAACAGACCCATGTTTGCTATCACATAGTTCTTCTAAAGCTGCATAAGAGTTTTTTATTAATGATACTTCTAAAGTACCTTTTTGCCTCCCAGAACAATGAGACTCCATGCAATCAGTTTCTACTCTTGTAAGTTCTAATAATCCATCAACAGTAACATCTAATGATTGCAAATGATCCTTGAACCAGAATGATCTTATCATTGTAATTAGGCTACATACAATGATATTTAAATTTTTTATCAAAGTTTCTTTTTCATTAGGGGAAAGAATCTTATTGTCATTCACTGACTCTTCTGTAATATGGAAATCGTCAAGATTCACTGTTTTATTACGTTTCTTGCTGACAGGCTGTAATTGCTCAGAATATATTTTAAATGTTTCAATAGCACGTTGATATAAGTTCGGATGAAATACACTAAAAGCACTACTACCAGGAATAGCCAGAAGTATGAAATATAAATTAGTTGCATGAAGACAAGATTGTCTGGAGTCCTCATCAGCTTCTTTACCTTGACCGTTTCTTATTATGTAACCCAATACAGCTAATAAAGCACGCACCTTTATATCCATAATGATCAACGTATTCCAAGAGGTCTCTGAACACTGTTCAGAATCATACCGCTCTTTATCTTCAGTTAGCCAAGTCTTTATAACAATGTAGGACTCATGTAAAAGCAGTCTCATATCTTCACTTTCTAAGAACATGAGGTACTCATCAGGTGGTTCATTGTAAATCATAAATTCTGTATCCCAAACGGATTGAATCCAGTCTTCGCTGAGATCACTGAATTTAAAATCGTCAAATACTTTCAAAGACTCCATGGTAACAACTGTGCTCGGTTTAAATCATTTTAAAACGAAACTACAATTATTATCACATTCCTTCAAACATATCTTGCGAATGTAAACATAACCTTAACTTATCATTCGATAAAGGGAAACTTATGGCCTCAGGTTATCATTTTTTGAATACGTATCGATAATGATTTTATAACCCCGTTATGATGTGCATGAACAGAAAACTTTGCCAATTGTTTACAGCGGAACATCTCGCTCGAAATACGAAAAGTCCTACAAAGGACTCTGACGTCCATTCGAAAGCGGGAAACCGACTGACCAATTAGATTCATCGCGGTATGCACATATAACTTTGCAACATGTGGTGCATTCTTGCAGTGTTGTACTTTTACATGTATGCAAATAAAGAATGCATGAATCATTCAATTTACTTACACAATGTTGCAAACAATTAATATTCTGATTAATTACTGCGATTTCTTAAACAAATACACAAGTATATAGAATACATTATATGTGAAACACGAGTTAAGTCGGCTGTATTTTACGCGGGCAAAATCTTGATCATTCTCTATGAAGTGTCTGATCTATCTTGATCTGTCTCAATCTGTCTGATCACGTGGAATCATGAAAATTGAATTGTCCAACTTTTAGACGGGAACTTAATTGTGTACTATATTCAATTATATAATACGTATTATGTTGAAATTACATGTAACAAATAAGTTGAATTTACATGTAAAAATAAAATATATTCGTATGTGTCTGTATAGATATGGGAAAAGACATTGCTCCTATCGATGATTTAACTCTTTCGAGCGCCAGAGATGGACCCGCACATTTACGAATTAAGGTGTTGCAGTATGTAACAATGTTAAAACTCTTCTCAGAAATCATGGAAGAATACAACATGTCTATGTCAAGATATCATGACAAATGTCGTTTACTTTTACAGCAGCAAAAAATGCTAAGTATGTTTCCGAAAGTTACAAATTATTTTCATTTTAATACATTCATATTGTCTTGTTCAATTGTTTAGTCAGGAGGCACATAACAAGCGAGGAATTGGATAAGCTACTTGACTCTCAAGAAAATAGTTTGTTTGTTGACAATGTAAGTGTAGTTATTTATTTACAGAATAAAAATAAATACAAATCTTATTTATTGGTAGATTTTAGAGGATAGCAGGATTACAAGACAGCAATTGTCAGATATACAAAGTAGGCATAATGACATATTGAAATTAGAAAAATCTATTACAGAAATTAGAGATATGTTTACTGAAATGGCATTCCTTATTGAAAAACAGGTAAGCGCAATGAATGAAGTTTTAATGTACGTAAGTTTGAAGTTTGGCTTTTATTTAACAGGGAGAACAATTAAATAGTGTTGAATATTTTGCTGGGAGAACTATAGATAATGTGGACAGTGGTCGTACAAATCTCAAAAAAGCAGAGAAAAAGAGTCGTAGATACAGAAAGGTATTGATATTACAAATAAACGAATGCGTATTTTGAAAATAACTATATTGTTAAAAATAAACTATTTCTTTTCAGAGAAATATTAAGCTTGCTATCATTATCAGTGTAATAATTATTGTTTTCTTACTGATAATTATCTGTTTATAAATAGTATATAAAAATAACATATAAACAATGCAATATTATTATAAGAATAAAGATATTTATAATCTACTACTAACTTGTTTGAATACTGTCAATGTGTATGATTCATAACAATTATAAAACTTTTTTATCACATTTTGTCTTTGTATATGTAGTTTTCAAAATACTTAACAAGACCAATTGCAGTAGGTCTAACTTTATAATCCATGGTAGTGCAAGCAAAAAATAGCTCAAGTATTCTGTCATATTCTTTACCCAGATTAATGGCAGGTAATTCTGGACGTGTACCTGTGGTTATTAATTAATGTACATAGTCTTCTATAACATCTTCAAATATATGCATATATTATTATGCAATTACTTACCATATTTAGAATTTATCATTTCATTAAGGAAAATAACACTGTCATCCATATTTTTTATATGTTCAGCAACTTCTGTATGATTTTCCATATGTATTTCTGTCACTGAATCATCAAAACAAGAGTAATCATTTTCCAAAGTTTCTAAATGAGGTGTTGACAAAGCTATCATTTCCCAAACGACTAAACCACATGCCCAGATGTCTGCCTTATTTGTGACTGGACCATCCTCTGAAAAATAAAATTTATGTTTCATACAGATTATAATTATTTAAATATTCATATGCAATATACAACCAACCATGTATTATTTCAGGGGCACTCCAACACTCTGTTCCTATATACATAAAATCTCCCTTTGAAGCATCCAACTCTAGAGATTCTGTGAGTGGTACAGATACCCCGAAGTCACAAAGTTTAACTCTATTGTAGTCCTCAGAAACCAATACATTATAACTTTTCATATCACCATGCAAAATATGAGCAGTATGGTGTAAATATTCTAATCCTTTTACTATTTCATATGTTATTTTTAGAATGTCTTTAGCTGGAAATGGATCCTCAGCTGCGTCAAGCTTTTGCTCTATCTTATCACCTAAATGCATATAATTTATTGAGTTTTCTTTTTTAAATTTGAAATATATGTATTAGACATATTTTATACCTAAAGAAGCATCTAATTTTTCCATCGCCAAACATGGATCGACACCATCACCACGGGAAACTTCTGTGAATGCTCGAAAACCGATAATGTTTGGATGATTTAGCTTCCGAAGTAACTCTGCTTCAAATCGAATGCGTTCATTGTACGTTTTACCTTCTTCAACTCTGCGATTTCTTTTCTTTATCGCCCATGGTGATCGACTGAAACCAACTTTTGGAGATCGTTCCAAACAGAACACCGAAACACCTGACAACATATTTAAATGATAAAAAAATGTTTACAAGATATGTTTACAAATGGAAATATTTATATATGTATGTATATTTATTTACCACATCCATAACCTATCTGTTCTAAGAATGGTGAAGCTGGTATTTTTATAGGTGTTTGCAGTTCTGGATTGTCTTGTACTCTGCTCTTGTACCTTTTCGTAGTCGGTGTCTTAAATTCAGCCATTTTAAATGTATAAATTAGTAATCAAATTCGATTTTAACGTATCACCCGTACCATCTAAATTTTCGTACGTTAAATTTCAAATTGTTTCAAATTTCTTCCATACAAGAGACTACAAGACGCTCAAGGAGTACCAACTTAACGTACAGTTCGGAGCTGCTACCTGCTAGTGAATGGTTGCACTGCAAAACGCTACGTCAGTACAACGTGATTACTGGTGATTACTCTGTCATCGCTCTATCTTACTTAATCTCGTGTGTCCGTTCGTTCTCTTTGTCACGAATGAATTTGATTGAAACGCTTCTAGGCAGCTCCCAAGTATACACACATACTATTTACAACAAAAATCAGATAGCAGTAAATTAAATTTTATCAATGAACAATAATTCTTTTCATGATGTAATCTTTTTTCGACATTAACTTAAAGCGTATCTCTCTTGTTCTTATTTTTCTTAAAAAGAAATCATTATTTTTTTACTTATAGCACATTTTTACTTATAACAACATTAAATAATAAAAGCCTTAAACAAATAATTGACCGTTTATCTATTATAATCAATTTTATAATGAACACGTTACAGAACCATGTTCTTAAGTTAAAGTAAGTTTACTTTCTCTTAAAAACGCGTAATTTGCCGTTGCTCAATTTAGCCATAAAGATTGAATATAATTATAATAATATTCATCTATTTTTAAGGATTTTAATAACACGTACAGATTTTTCTGTCGACTTGTTTAGATGTTTTTTTTTTCGTCTAGCTGGCAAAAGTTAATGGTGTATAGTATTTAAAGGTGGTGAAGGTTAAAGGGGGAATAAATTTTTGCATTATCTTCAGGTAGCTACTAATAAGAGGATAAAAGCTAGTCCATTTTTAGTATTCATTCAATATATTAAAAAAAGAACTCCGTACTTCAGTTTCACTACATCTAATTACCATTAATGACTGGGCATGATAATGAAATCAATCTAATTTTCATTATTTAATTATACATCTTTATTGTTTTTCTTTTCTTCTACAACTTTTCGATTTTCTTTATCGATGGATTCAGTGACATTTTCTTCGATCAATAATTTCTCACGTTTATCCGAACCATTACTTTCATTTTCTGTTTCCTCCATAATTAAAGAAGTATCACTCGTCGAGTTAATTTTAATCACATTAGAATCATTTCTGTTGATTAGAATGGACACCTGTTTCCGTCTCGTTTCGTTCGATTTATTAAATAAACTTCTGGCTCGCTCTCTCGAATTCAAAAATTTATTCGAATCATGCTCTTCGTTACGAAGATTTCTTATAGGCAAGATTCTTGGCGGTCTCTTGAACCGTTTCACCGAAGCAGCGTGGTCAGCTTTCGTTTGCTTCAAGGTTTCCAGATTTGAGGATGAAGATCTCGAAGCGTTACCTTCCCCGAACTCTTCATTAGGCACCGAAGCGTGGCTTCGAACGACGCGTTTCACATCCTCGACATCTTCCGGGTACGATAAATTTATAATCGACGTATCATTACGCTGTGCCGCGTCAAGTTTGCTCACTGAGCTTGCATTTTCGTTGGTCGCTCGAGTGGATACTCTATCGAGCGTAAGAGTTGTCTCTAATGACGTTTTCTGCTTCGAGAGATCGCTGATTTTTTCAGACAAGCTTTTGGCTGTCGAGAGAAACCTCAGGTACCTGTTAAAGTAACCTTTATTCACGACAACTGGAGGAACAGCGGAATCTATCCTCCTTAGAGAATTTTCAGTGCGTTTCATCGAGTCCTCGATTAAAAGTAAATCCGGTTGCTTTGGAGATGTTCTGCGACTCTCAAAGTTTTTCGCTTCTTCGATCCAGTCTTGGATATTTGACTTCTCTTCGCTGTCTTGGCGGAGCACTGAAACATCTGATGTTAACAACTGATCGTTTTTCTTTTTCTTATGATCCTTCTGTCTTATAGTTCGAGAGGATGGAAAATTAGGATGCAACTTCGTCTTCGGGTGTTGCAATGGCGCCTGATTTACATCAATCAAGGTTGTATCACTTTCAATATTTTCAGTTACGCTCATAGGATCGTCAGGAGGGTCCGTATAAGTAACATTATTATTTTCAGTAGTGTACATATCTATACTGTTGAAATCCCCAGTGGTCTCCTCGTTCATAGGAACATCCCAAGTAGATTCTTCTAAGGACGGTAGATCGGTCTGTAATTCAGACGCCACATACTCTTCGACGATTCCTTCAGTGTCCATCGGAACATTTAATTCAGTCGTACCTGCCACCGTGTCCGTTCTGTATGTGTCCAAGAATGTTTTCGTCGGATCTTCCGGAGATCCGTCAGCGCGTGCCGATTCAATCGATTTCGGAACTGTTGAGCAACATCTAATTAAATTCTCACTTTCACACGGCAGTATCATCACTTCGTTACTGTTGAAAAACAGTAGAGAATTGTCCGCGCACTCGTTGGAAGGTAGGCAAGGGCAAGAATTATCCGACCCGAGGGTCCTCGATGCAACCATGCAGAAGCTGACAAATTGTACGGTCCTAAAGAAAAGTAAACAATTAAGTCAAGACTGATACGTTCCTGGACAATTCATTGTCTCGAAGATTCGAAGCTTTTTCTATTACCAAAAGATACATCCTATCGCGTGTGGCTTCATGGTGACCAGTTTACTCATTAAAACCAGTCGACGTGAATTGATTTAAAATTAAGAGGCAACCAGAGGAGGAGCGGTTTCACTTTGAATTTATACTGGCCGACCCCACTTAAAGCTTCTATATTTGGCAATCTACAGCCCATCTATTAACCAGACGTCCTTTTCACGAAATAGCACGGAGAAAGTGAAGGTTTACAGCCAATTTACAGTTTTTCTTCGACGGGCCCATCTTATCGCGACACGGTGATCTTTCAAACATTCTTTGTTGACCGTTTCAATTATAACCAATCGTCCCGTGTGCGTCGCGTATGGCTCGATACATACTACAGTTGGGATCATGCAAAAAGCAATTAGTTTATCGTGGGACACGTTTTTATTGTATCGTTAACCGAGTTAGCCGGACGAAGGGCGCCGGAATATAATTATAATGTATAAGTAAATATACTTTTCGCGTCTGTGTATAAGTGAATACACTTGTGGGGGGCATGCGCGGTATCGGCTTTTTACGGGAAACTCTGTGGTAAGTTCATCGGGGATGGATCTCGCAGAACTTGTTGTGCTCCCGCCACGACCCTCACGGCTGAAGTGTTTATCAATGGAGACGGTAAAACACGCGAGATAAGAAATACTTACCGTGACAACTTCAACGTGACTTTAAAATATCGCCCGTTTAAATTCGTTTCCTTTTTTTTCATTAATAATTCTGTTTATATTCAGAATGTTAACGGGAGTCTTCAAAGGGTACGTTTTTCACACGAGTAGACTTCTTCTCCCCCTTATGATTTTTATTTAGTTGCACGTAAATCACTCCTTCAATCTATCGATCGGTGTATATTCCAGTAACATTGTTATCTCATGTTTTCATGGGTGTTTAACGCAGAGTTAAATGTTCTAGAACACTTTTGTGCTGCGAGAATGAAAATTTTACGTCGACTGGCATCACCGACGCGAACAAAAGCGTTCCCCACGAGATCGCCTCTTTCTTAAAAGTTATTTACAAAGTCATAATGCCGGTGATCGTAGGCAGTGGTCTTCTCGGTAACATTTTAATACTAACAGTGCTGTCTATGCCGATATTCCGTGGAATCGCGTATTTGTATCTCAGGGGACTGGCGCTGGCGCACGCTGGAGTCCTAGTATCTTGGATACCTATCTGTACGTGCTACGATTGGAAGCTTACAGGAAAACGAATACTTGTGCCACGACGGAAATATGTTTATTTCAGTTTTCAGACTCGGTCAAGGTACGAAGGACAACTATCCATCGGTATTCTACCACGCTCATTTGGAGCTGGTCGCTGTGAACACGTTCTCCGTCGCAAGCATTTTAATAATGACTTGCTTGATCGTGGACCGATACATTTTCATTTTCTTCCCGGCTCGCATCCGTAACAGAAATGCTCGGAAAAATGTCCACTCTTTCGTCCTGTGCTCGTTCATCTTCGGGTTCGCGGTACATATATTTGAATCCTTCTACGTGAGAATGGAAAATTAATATTCTATTGAAATTACTCTATAGATCAGTGCTCCGCTGGCTATAATGAGAATGGTGCACGAGTGGCAAGATGGTACCGGTAATCATTTCTCATTGCGCGAAAACGTTTCCGTCACGCGAAACGGCCTGTGGCACGCGTACATCTGGATCATGGAAATCACGGCCCGTCTTTGCCCGACCGTGATACTTCTTATACTGAACACCGTGGTCGTCAAGAGGTTTCTGCACCTGAACGCAAAGAAACGAGAATTTCAATTAGTTTCCGAACAGTACCGTACCGCGAACCTTCCTGACATGTCTCTGTTAACCCGCAATCGTGGATACAGGTAGCGTATATTATGTACATACTCATCGCAGACGGAGAGGGACGCACTCAAGTCGTGTGGAATTTGATACTCCTATTTGCTTCACTCAAGTGGATCGTTTTACTACTAAAAAAAAAAACGTGGCGTGAGTTTGAAGTGACCTTGAAACAACCTTCAAGACATCAAAGAGACGCTCATCCTTCTTTTGATGTTCAAGATCACTTCGAGGTCAGATCATTCCGATACAAGTGAATACACTTAATTTAACGTTCACTTCAGGATCCAGTGGAAAAAAAAATGTATATTTTCTCGTGCGAGAAAACTACCGCGATAATCTTGAACAAATTCGAAAAAGTGATGTGGAGAGTGACTACATTTTTCTTGCATTGTATTCCTTCTCGAGATCATGTAAAATATGTATTAAATGTTCTTCCATATCGTCAATAATATAACAGACGTTTCGGTATTCTGGTTTTAACGAGACACATTGTATAACGAGAAGAATGTTTTTTGTCGATCATTATACCAAGCCATATATCCAAATAATGGGCTACCCTTCTGAAAAGTAATAACCCTTGCATGTACGAACTTGGGTAATCGATCTTCTTATCACGGTTAAATCATGTTTCAGAGAAGAACAACACCTTGCTACATTGATGTCGGTCATGGCTGTGTGTTTCGTGGTGACGATGATACCGTCGATGGTTCTTCAGTTTTTGTACAGCAATTACGAGACCGTAGAAACTGGCTACCACCTATTTCGCGCGTTCGCCGCTGTCGTTGAGCTTTGCAATTTCGCCGTGCCCATTATCGTATACTTCACCTGTAGCAAAGAATTCCGAATAGAATTCCTAAAAATCCTTCAAGTAGGAGAAGAAAGCTTAAATGTTTGATACCGAAAGGAAGGAGAAAGATTGTAGATTGAATCGTATTTTGAATTTTAGAATAAATGTAGGAAGACCGTGGAAGAAGATATTGAACGACCAATTGGGGAAATTGAAGATTACAGTAGACATGGTACCACAGTTCGACTTACGCCTGAACAGACGAAATTAAATTCTCCCGGTTCCGCGAGCAGACTGAATCCCATGGAGGAAGACGGAGAGTCGGAATTATTGAACGCCTCCGATGTTGTTTAGTAATTGTACTAATAAATTGCAAATAAAAATGTCTAATTGTAACGAAATCATTACTTCGATACTAGGTACATATATACATATGTAACCAATAAAATCAAGTTTTACTCATTAAAACAAAGTAACGAAATAAATGTTTCTTATGTGTAATCGATTAGTAACCTAAAATAGGTACTTAATTTGTTTTTCAATTCTTACTTTATGATGTTTATATAAAATTGAAGTCGGAATTATATTATTTTGTATCAAGTACGGTTTTCGTGTACCATCATGTACCATTTCAGATCTGACGTCTATTTTCGAATCGCATCTGAAGCTATGTCATCAATATGATACTGATTGTAGATGGCACTACCAGTCACCGACACACCTATATACACAGAATCATCAGGCAATAGCACATAACCTAAGCTGTCAAATTGTGCGAAATTGTGTGTATTTAAGTAGTACATCCAGTTATGTGCGACTCTATTGTACGCTAAGTTTTACTTTTATAATACTTTTCTTCGATGTAGTGCATTGACGAAAGCAACAAGTATGTTTATGAGAATATAACGAGATATTAAAAGAAATTATAAATAGAATTATTCGCAAGAAAAGTATTTATCAGTTTACCTTAAGAAATATTGTGTTTTTGCAGACAGTCCGTAATTATGTTTGAGTTGCCAACAGAATTGACAGCTAAACCACTGGCTCTTATTGGCCTAACTGGTTTAGATATTGCAAATCCAGTGCATCGTTCTATTTGGGATGCATTTAGTAATAATCGCAGATTGGAAAATTCTGTGATCCAGTTTAAGTTACTAAGCCCTACACATGAGTTTCCTACAGTCAAACCAAAGGTATATATCATTAAATATAATTGAACTAATTTGAGGAAACATGTACATAACTTTGAAAGTACATGTGTATTATGTATTTCAGCGTAATTCATACGAGTGGTACATACCTAAAGGAATATTGAAACGTAATTGGATGAACAAATACCTTAATGAAATTCCAGCAGTTGTTGTTGTATTTTATGATTTAGATTGGAATGATCCACAGTGGAATGACAAAAAAATGGAATGTGCTTCTAAAGTACAAACACTTAGGTATTAATTGCATTAATTGCAACATGAATTATTAATGTTAAACAGTATTAATGAATCCAATATTACTTTTAATTACCTGTGACCTCAGGAATGCTTTGGAAGGCAGAAGCACAAAAATAGCTGTAGTACTTATACAACATTGTACTCAGCCTCCACCAGGATCTGAGGATGCTTTAGCAACTGAAAGGGCTACAGCTGTTTGTGGAGCATGTGAACTACCACCGAAATTGTTGTACATTCTACCTCATGGAAATCATTTATTAGGCTACACATCTAGGTAATCTATAAGTTAATTGCTCTGTTATTTGATTGTATATTATTAACTTAAATGTGTACATTCGCAGATTGGAAAATGCATTATATGACTTAGCACAGAGTTTTTATCATCATGAATATCGTATTATCAAAGGACACAAAGATCAACTTAATAAAACTGTACATCAACATTTATTTGTACGTCATCAATTCAAAATGGCATTCTTAAATGAATTAAAGCAAGATCAAAATATTGCAAAGAAGTAAGTCAAATAAAATCAATAAGTAGTTTCTTTGTAATTAAAGATAATTAAATTTTTTGTAGACATTACGAACAATCATATAATAATTTGTCTGAAATCAAAATGACAGACACAAATGCAATGGAAATGAAAACTGTTGCTTGTTTTATCAACTATAAACTATGTAAAATAATGTTTAATTTAAATGTTCCTAAAGAAGCTATATCACAATTTAGACACCATACCGACAGGTTAGAAGTTAATACACTAATTAAGCTGTCGAGTAGATAACAAGTATTGTCATGGTGGTATTATTTTGGTAACACAGATTCAAACCAAGAACTGGTCCAAAGGAACTCATATTCGAACATCATGCATGGATGTGCAGTCAGTTTTCGACATTTGCTGAATTATTTGATGAAGCTATACGACAGGGACTTCCAGCTGTTCAAACTCAACACCCTGGTTATTATTTTCAATTAGCAGCTCAGCATGCAGGCTTAAGGCTAACAGCTTGCAAGGAATTCTGTCAGGTATGCAAACTAATACAATTACTAAACACATTTCTGTATCGAACATTTAAACACACCTATATACACAATGTGTGTTATCTTAGAATATTAGTAGTTATCCAAATCCAGATCCATTAGCTGGAGAAGACAAATTGGAATTTTATGGACAACGGCCATGGCGTCCTGGAAAACTAAGCGCTGAGCCTGCAGACCCAGGAAAAGAAGCAATTGCCATACAGGCTTTACAGTACAAAGAAAAATATACAGTTGATCATTCAGTAAGGCACACTTGTATTTTTCCTATGTTCAAATTTAATCATTATTCTACATGTATGTAACCAGTATCTTATTTACAGAAAATCATTATTGCTTTATTGGGAAATGCAATTTCGCAGTTTAAATTATACAGATGTCCAAGGATGAGAAGAGTATTAGGTATACTATGCTGTATACTATTATATTTAGTTGTAACCCTTTTACTTGTGAATTGACTACAAAAGGATAGTTTTGTTTCAGTGGTACAAATGGCTGAAGAGTATTATAATTGCAAGGATTATGGAAAAGTACTCACGTAAGTTGGAGTTGAACTATTACTATACTAAACCTAAACAGTAACAAGAATATTTGGAAACCGCCTGAAAGACTTTGTTCTACGCATTAATCAAAATTGATTGATCCTAACATTATTCCCTCTAGACTATTTTCATAACTTAACATCAAAATCGTAAAATTTGATTGGCCAGATTATTGATGCACATGTTGTGGGAATATCGTGGGGAACGGTGGCCCGTCTTAATCACAAATATCTTGAAAAATGCCTTGAGAGCTGCGTATCTGTCCACAAGTATTCAAGACTACATCACATTAGCGTTTGAAGCACTAGGACCCTCCACCACATTCCCGGAAAACTACAAAGCTGCAATGTACACCAATATTGTTAATATTCTCAATGTAAGTTAAATTGACAGGTATGAAATCATTATATTAATCATTTATAATCAATTAATTAAAATTTTTATGTGAAACGGTAGAAGAAACCTCCAAATCCGGAACCTAATTTACCCGATGATGTGAAACTTCCAGCGTTAGATAAGTGGGTAATGGAGCTTAATCAGTCAGAACCAATTGTCTTTAAAATTGATGATAATAATATGAGTTCATTTGTAGAAGTTAAAGCACGATTTTTACAACCAAAGTACGCTATTAATTCTACTGTTAGCGTAGAAGTTATTGTCAGGTAATCTATTCTCACATAGGCTTAGCACAAATATAGAAAAAATGAAACAAACAATGCAACGAAATTTTATTTTCAGAAATTTGTATAATGGTATTATAGAATTTTCTAAAGTATCAATTACAATTGATAGCCCCGGCTACTCGTCAGAATTCATTATTGCCGATGCTCAAAGTAGTAATCTTATTTTCAATGCGAAAGAAACAAAGAAATTTCTTTATCAGTTTCAAGCAACGCAAACCACTGATGGTAGCGAAATACGCATCACTACTATTTCATTATACATGGGTAATGATACTGTTTGTTGTATACTTTTGAGGTTCTCCGCTGTGGGAAAAGAAACAAATTTTTTGAGTCAACTATATCCTGAGATTCAACAGTTTTGGTACGTTTGCAATGAAACATTTCTGAGTATCTCATAATGGAAATGATGTATGTCATGTTTATAACAGTAGAGGAGAATTTGAGACGATGCAACCGCTAGTCAGTGCAGAAATCACACAAGAAGAATCTAGTCTTAGCATAAGTGCAGAATCCAACAACCCAGCACTTTTAGGAGAATGGCTTCCTATTCGAATATCTGTTACAGCTAATGAAAATATATTATCAGCAGTCTTAAACGTATCACTTGTGTCTGATATGGCACATGAACAATCTAGTATGTTTATAATACTATGACATAAACATTACCTAATTGCGTACTGATATTAATTTCAATTGTTTTCTAGCGGAATTAAGCTTGACTATGGTTAACAAACAATCAGTAATATCAATACCAATTGATAATTTAGAAAAGAGTAGCAGTAGTAATCAAACAGTGTACTTAAGAGCTCATAAAGTTGGTGATAGAAATATCCATATAAAGGTAAACATTATAAATGTTTCTTAATTTTGAAATTTATGAATGCAGTGTTGACAGTTTCGTAATTGTAGGTTGAATACTCAAACTCTGAACAAATAAAGGGAATTAAGGAATTAACATATTTACTGTCAGTCGCGAAACCATTTGAAGTATCAACGCTATTTTACACTACACTGTTTGAACCATTAACAAAAGGTTTCATTAATGAACCCTTTATAATAATGCCGCACATTTCTTGTGTTTCTCCATGGCCTATAAACATTATCGGTACTTCTATAGAGTTGGTAAATAATTTCTTTACAATCTCTTATTATTACAAAATTTCCATTTCGTAATGGTGCATACATTATTATCTAGGGAGATTCTATAGAAAGAGAGAATAGAGATGAATCGGTATCCGTTTTAGCTGGTATTACACTATCCGAGGGTGAAACCGGAACAGATTCTTACTGTCTGATACCAAAAATTGGTAGCGAGCAACCTGTTAGTACAGGAGTATACACCATCAAGTGGAAACGGTAAAAAAAAACATTACGTCGAAGTATATTATGGAAAAATGTTTGAATAACATTATATGTTGTTTCAGTACTAATAGTGAAAATGCGTTGGAAACTAGTAGTAGCGTAACGTTAGCTCCTTTGTGGGTTGAAGATGCGGTAATTGGCCTGGAAGCCAAGTTACCACCTCACGGTTGTGTTCGAACACCGTTACTGGTATCGTACTTCATAAAGAATCATTCTGATTATATGATTACATTACGATTAACTATGGAACCTAGTGATGCGTTTATGTTTGCTGGCCAGAAAGAAGTACGTAATTCTTTGAAAATACAAAAAATTGTAGCACAGTAGCTAATTAGATAATTGATGTCAGGTCGACGTTTACATACTTCCGAAAAATAAAAGAAAGGTTGAATGGATTCTACGTCCACTTGTAGCAGGTTTTGTACAACTTCCGACGCTATCTTTAGCCGTTCCTTCTGGTAATAATTTTTCAGTATGTTGCATATTATCCACACATATTTTTAATTTTTAATTTTCTTCCTCTATTATTTGTAGATGAAGAACATAAAGTAAGTAAAGCACGTATTTCGGAAGTGATAGAGCGATCAGTACCAAGTCATATATACATTCTGGTAAATAACACAATTTTATTCTACAATGCAAATTGTAACTTAATTCTAATTCGATGGTTATATTTCTCTGTAGCCGACATCGCAAACCTTAGAAGAATGAATTAACCAATAGGGGGAGGCTAATCAGAAAGAAATTTTATTGTCATCCATTAAAATGTATTATTAAAAGCTATATACATTTTGCATATACTGGTAAATAGAAGAACATTTCATATTTAGGATTATGAATATCAGCCTGCCGAATATAATTTATTTAAGATACATTAATACGTAATAAAAATCTCTTCATCCTTCGAAACCCTCGTGTACGTTGCATGTGCATATGTTTGTTCGTTCGATGCGGGCGTCGATATCGATTGTTGCCACTTGCCACATGTACAATATTTCTATAGAAACCAGATGTATTACAATACGTTGTAGGCATGCGCGTATGTTCGCTATATAATTCACAATCACTTTGAAATTGAGAATTAGAACAGCATAGATGAGTGTGAATGTGAAAAGTTATAGATAGTGATGACGACGAGGGAGATCGATGTTAATTCCGCGAGCAAGGTGTCTTCGAAAAATCTGCAATATGAAAAAGACTTGGAAATGACATTGACACCTATTTTTCGTATAAATTCGGAAGAATCCTTGATCCGTAATCGAAAATTCTTAAAGGTACAGTATTGTTAACATAATTAATAACAACATCATTTCCAAACATTGGAGTGACCAAGATGCGTTTTCGTGTAAAACTTTTGGAGAACGTGAATTCCACAAAATATTAGGGTCACTTTTATTGTTATAATAGAAAACAATCTTTTTATCAGAAAAGTACTGCCATAATCGAAATACACTACATTAAAATCAGTAATTTCCAAACAGGACCTGGAACTAGCGAAAGCTCGTTTGAGGACTTACGCAGCATATACGCCTACCGACCGAGAATTACAGCAGCGCGCAGTAGAATATCGCAAGTACCTCCAGAAATACAACTGAAGTTCGATGTTCCTTGTAACTGCTTGTAATATCGAGTCAATTTCATATCAAGGGGCGAAGTATGTTCTTTCTCAATCTGATAACTCGAGCCGAACGAACAAACTTTCAAGTGAAAAGTTTGTTGATCGTTGGGATCGATGGATCAGACCGATAACTCGAATGACGGGGTTTAGGCTGTATAATAAAACAAGAAAAAATGTCCATAAATTATATTATGTTACACAGAAGGAATTATAAACAGATGATTTCTTGAAATAATCCATTCTAATTTCTCGTCGTCACGTGTGAGTTGAAATATGCATTATAATGAAAATCGAATAAATACTTACAAATTCCGATGCACAACAATGAATTCTCTGCTTCACAGAGAGCGAATTGTTCTATCAGGAATACGAAAGGAGAACGCGCGTTGACAACTGCAAACGGTATTCACCTGTTCGAATGGAATATTCACGTTCGTTTTCTACATGCGACAGCATTATCGTCGCTCGTAATTACTGACACGCAGAACGTGTATGTACGATAGGATAAGTTCGTTTCAGAAGTTGCCTGATAACGACCTAAACCAATAATTCGACAAAAAGTCCCGTATAATACCCGTTGCGTTAAATTTCACCCACAAACATGAAATTCAGGTTTCGACCTTCACTGAAGTATTAAAAATGTATTGTTATTATTATTGCCACACATAGTAACGCGATAATATTAAACTGTGATACGCGGAGGTAATATTTAGATACTGTAGGAAACAGCTACCGATACATTTTTACTTCGTCGAATCGCCTTGAACGTTGGTAATTTACAAAAATGTTTCACGTTGCCTCGATGCTACTCGATTTTCGCTTACAAGATCTTCCGATAAGGCATACTTAAACACGCGTTCTAAATGTGTACACCGTAATCGTTCTATGCCGATCAAAAATTTAGGAAGAACTGACACGTAATAGCTAAGACCGGTAAGGTGTCTTCGTACATAATGTTATTTGTTTCTACGTGGCATCGTTCCTGGCAGCTGAACAAATGAATTGACACCGAGAACTTCTTAGTTTGACCATTGTATGTTGCTTAAAAACATCTGTATCAACACTTTCTTTATCTTCGCCACACATCGTTTCTTTTGTAACTCGATCTCGATGGCAACCGAATGTCTTACAACTTCAGTACATATTATAATTAGCAATTAAATTTTTACAGGTGAAACGAGGGCCAGAAACTCCGTTGATAATTATTTCATTTCATTTATTTCAATAAATTACAAACGACATTTTTGTCGTTAAGTATGCATACAAATTGCTTTGGGCTGTGGAACATAATTTTGTCAGGAATGGTTTAAGGAAGTTATAATCGTAACGTACATTTTTAAATATTGCAAGATATAGAGTTATTATGGTAAGGAACTTTCGTGACCAATGAAACGATAGACAGTGGTCAGCGGAATATTTACGAGCCATATACTCCAGGTAAAGGCGGTAATAAACCCTCGTAAATAATGCGCAGGCGAATAACTGATCTGTGAATGGTATACATATCGTAAACGTTATAAAAAGACCCGACTTCGAGACAATAGTTAGACTTTGATTAGTGTCGCAGAAGAAGTTACATCGCTGTAACCAGAAATCCGTTAGGATGAATTTCGCGATTTAACAACCAGTTCCGGTAGGAAGTCGGTTATCCACGATCTATCCGCAAACTCCGTCAAAGGAATTCGATCCAGTTTCGACAAAGTTTGTATGTACCTTCACGAGGCCTTTAGTTTTCAAATATTTAATTCCTAAGAGGAAGAAGCCATTCGGCTGGACTAAATGGTGACTTACCAGACTTTCCGCCAATCCCCACTCCAGTGATCTATCGGAATTGTACCGTGTGCGAAACACCTCAGGAGTGTAATATTGGCATAGTAATGGCGCGGTAACGCAAAAAAGTCATGTGTTACATAACATAAAAAAGAAACGTAATGATAACGACTATCGCATTCAAGTATTTTATCGCCGTGTCATGTGTAGACGCGTAAATCGGTGTAAGTTTTTACCACATCGCGTTACTGGCATATTAATGTATTATCGCTATTATAATGCTAATAAAAAAAAAAGAAAAAAAATGCTGCATCATTAGACACAATAAAAAAAAAAACATCGCCCTTGCTTGGATTAGCATGTATTATTATCGAGTTTATTTTTAACTTGTGACGCACGCTCAAACAAATAGAAACAACGAAAATTAAATTTTATCTGTAATCAGTAATGTCGTTCTCTTTTTTCAAACGTACATTAATACAGGAACGAGAATGAAATACACTTCGATTATTCTTAAAAAAAAAAACATTCCGTTGTTACCATACTATTTGGAAAGAAAACTACGCTTTTAATAAGTATCTGTATGTTCAAATTCGTGTATTAAATATTTTAATACAAATCGTTGTACTTTTGATAAATTAAATCCACTTAAATCGAAAGAGCATAAAATTTGTACTTAATACATACGTATCCACCTCTTACATACATAGAATCACTTTAAGCAGTATTATACAATTAATATAGCTACTGTAAAACTAATCGAGCAACTATAGTCTAGTATATCATGATTCACTTCTACAATGCTTCATCATTAAGTGCTAATAAATTTATTGATAATGCTTGCAACTCTTTCAGGATTATTTAAGTGGACATGGTGAGATCCTTCCACTTCGTGATATTCGAATCTTTTAGCACCTACTTTTATTCTATCTAAGACCATATGATAATGTTCTGGTTTCTCATACTTCAATCCATCGGACGCACGAATGTTGAGATAAGCACATTTTACACGAGCTGCAAATGCAAGAAGCAAATCCATAGATGGCATACCCAATGTAGCAACCTACAAAATTTAATATAAATCTGTTATTGTGCATAATATTCTGAAAAATTTTGCTACCTTCAATTTAAAGTAATGGTACAAGTGTACCTTCAATCGTGAGTCGCGTGAAAAACAGAATCGTTCAGGATCATAGGACGGTCGTATGCCACGTTTCATTAATATTATTGCACTTTCTCTGGTTATAGAACCATTATAAGCACCCTCTATTATGTGAAGCATTTCCTCGTACGTGTAATCTGGACTATCTTTACCATTAAGGGTTTCGAAACTTAAGTATTTATCAATTGTGTCCCCAGTTGCAGCTGCAATTTCTGATACATCTTTTGAATTAGGGCCTGCAATATCTAGACTAATAATGAAGTCTACTTCATCAGGATATGTTGCAGAGTATAGAAATGATACAACTCCTCCTAAAGAGTGTCCAATTAGTTTTACCTAGGATCAATAGAAATAATTATATAGTAACACGCATAAAAGTAAACAGAATTATATAATTATGTGTTAACTTTTTGGTATGGCTAAAAGTTAGTGTGTGGATGGTAAATGCGTATTCGTGTATGTGTGTTATATGTGTGTTATATGTGTGGTTAGATCAAATTACTTTATTTTGTGTGAGTGCAATAACATAGAAAAATTCAGTAAAAACAAGATTGAAAGATAACTGTTACATTTGCATAGTGTAGACAATGTTTGTAATGTTTGTAATGTTTGTAATGTTTGTAATGTTTGTAATGTTTGTAATGTTTGTAATGTTTGTAATGTTTGTAATATTGACTAAATATATTTAGCCAATTAGTAATGTTGTTGTGGTTTAATTAACAGTGGTAGTGTTAATCCTGCTAATTAATACACGCTAACCTTGTTCCATTTGAAATATTTAACAATTCTACGGAGTAGAATTATACCATCCCAGTAAACATAATAGTACTGATTCTTTGAATAATGAGAAGACAAACCATGTCCAGGCATATCCAGACAAAGTACTGAAATCTTATCAGATAATAATGGAATCAAAGTGTCAAAACTGCCAGCATTATCTTGACGTCCATGCAGAGCCACTATTGGTTGGATCCCTTTAGGACCCCACCATTTGCCTACAGGCAAGTAACAAAAATACATCATCGGGAAGTTGCTATTCTAACAATTCATATCTACCTTGAGCAAATCCTCAGTTTTAAGTACATGTAAGTACAGCTTTCGTTACGAAACAAAGTTGTAGCTAAAGAATAAAGTCCTACTACCTACCTGTACACACACATCTGTAATTCAGTTATATAATGATACCAAACCCACTTTTAATGTATAATCTTCTATTATATTGTGAATAGTAATAAAAATGAGAAATGAGAATTTAACACGAAGCTTGTAACAGTCAACCTTCCCCAAAATAATTTTTAAAATATTGCGTAAGTCATTAAGAAAACAATTAGAAATAAAAATACACTATAATAACGTTAAAATATAGGAAGATAAAAAACTATGCATACTATCTGAAGTAGCAAGATTCCAGATTAAATGTTAAACAGAGCAAGGTACAGTGATTATGGTACACATATATTGCAAAATCAAGATGTATGTTTAAATGAACACAAAGCAATTTGAAAACATAAAATAATCGTTGTATAACTTTGTTTGCTAGCTAACCTTATTCCACCTGTAATATTTAACAATTCTACGTAGTGTAAGAAGCCCATCCCACACTATATTACAGAATTGCCCAATGGGAAAGTCGGTGGAACAACCATGGCCAAATAGATCTAAGGTTAAAATGGCTATATCTGATGGCAATAATGGAATTAGGGTATCAAAAGACCCACAATTATCTTGCCAGCCATGTAATGCTATTATCGGTTGCTGATCCATTGGTCCCCACCATTTGCCTAAATTTATTATCGTTATACCGTGATAATATTTTTTTAAACTTCTTTAGTTTACAAGTAAAAGAAAAAAATTTTCACAGATTGCAAGATTTATAAGAAAATGTAAATTAAAAGGTTTACTGACCACTTATGTGTCCCCATGGTACAGGAATTGTAACTTCTTCCACATCTACAAAATATATTCAGTTAATTAAAATCCACTTTATCGTGATAAAGTCAGATCACAAAACATTTAACATAAAAACTGTTAGCTTACTATGTGGTTTCTGTTTATTTATATTATCTGCAGAGGTAATGTTCTCAGTATCCGTATTCATCTTGCTGTAATAGGAGCCTAGGCTACAACAACACAAACTGATTACAAAGAATCTCCCTTTTCTCTTTGTAACTGTTTAACAATAGATCACTCTTTCTTGCACTGTAAGGTAAACTATTTCTGGTGTACGACACGTCTAGTTCCACACTGTATAACAAAATGGAAGTAGTAATTCATTAGCTTGCGCAAAGTTCAAATATATAAACTATTCATGATTGCCTATACGTACCATAAAGTTTTTTTCGTGTTTCGTAATGAATTTTTTCCGAGTATAATGTTTTTTCCAAGCACCAGTATGTGCAACACGTTCGCGTTTATTTATTAAACGCTAAATCATATGTGCATTAATTATATACTGTGTTCCTTTTCGTATAAATCCTGTCTCTTAAGATTTTTACAAAATGCTGTTCGAAAATATTGAACGAATTCAATGTAATAGAAATAAATTATTTAGGTTCTGTTCACTGTTTCTATCAGTAAAATACTTTTTTAGCTAAATAATTATACAATTTTCGTTAATAATAAATTCGAAAAATCGGTTGAACTCGATGACACACTTCACGGACGTAGAATGAACACGTTCTGTCCCGTTTTGCGGTTGCGGTAGTATGCTGTAGTGTAAAATTGAGTTTCCATTTTGTGGTTATCGCTAGTCTCGCCGTCATTGAAACGTATACATACGTACAATGTAGTATAAAAAATAATGAAACTACAATATCAAAGATAAGGAATAATTTAACAATTCAGAAATAAGTATATGTATGTATGTACTAATGTATATACACTTATTGAACTTTCTAGGTTTGTCCCCAACATATATTTAGTCTTACAACTCAAGTTGCATACAAGTTCTTTATAATCTTCAACTTCTAAGACTTTGTAGTTCATCCAAATGTTAAACTTATTATTTGAAAGTGTCCTATGTTGAATTTGATATACTTTAATTTGTTTTAATCATCATTGTTATTTACGTCATTAAGATGGACAACAATAAATATATAGTAAAGACCATAATTCATGCTGGAACAAAAGTAATCAATTTTGTAACCGGTACAAAAGTATGTATTATAGATTGTCACTTAATTTTCTACATACATTATCTTACATTGTTGTATTAATGATGTTTAATCTTTTAGGTTGTGTTTCATTATAAAACAACAAAATGTGATCCAGAGAAAACCATCATTGATGACAGTAAAGTTATTGGAAGGCCGATGGAACTTATTTTAGGCAAAAAGTTTAAGCTAGAAGTATGGGAAGTTATTGTACAAAAGATGGCATTAAATGAAGTGGCTTGCTTTAGAGTTGATAAGAGCGTATGTTTATGATAATACCAAAACATAACTCAAAGCTTAATGCATGCTTTAATGTTATCTATTGATGTAGCTAGTCACAACATATCCTTTTGTGTCTAAAACATTGAGGGAAGTTGGCAAGCCACAATCAGAAAAACGTACACATCACTGTTGTGGTGTAACCTTACAAAATGAAGGAATTGGGTATGATGATTTAAATGAACTTATCAGATATCCTCAAGATTTAGAGTTCACAATTGGTAGGTAATTAAAAATAATGTGAAACTAAGGAAACCAGAATATTTTAAATTTGTTATTGTATGTTTCAGAACTTGTGAATGTAATATTACCAGAAGAATATGAAAAAGAATCATGGCAAATGACTGAAGATGAGAAACTGAAAAGTATCCCAGAAATAAAAGAGAAAGGGAATGCATTATTTAATGAGAAAAATTATGAAGATGCTTGCAACGTGTATGCGAAAGGAATTGGAATGTTAGAACAACTTATGCTTGCGTTAGTATTTCATATGGTTAGACATAGTTGAAGCACATATAATTGATAGTAAAATTAATACTAACACGTTATTAATTATTACATGTTATATGTAGTGAAAAACCCAATGAAAATGAATGGTTGGCACTAAATAGATTGAAAATTCCACTGCTTTTAAACTATGCACAATGTAAATTGATCCAGAAAGATTATTATGCAGTTATAGAACACTGTACTACCATCCTTAAACATGATCCAGGTTTATTATTTTATATCGTACCTTTTTCATATGTATATAAAAAAAATATTTTGCTAACATGCATACTGTTATTATCAGATAACGTCAAAGCCTTATATAGGAGAGGCAAAGCTTATATAGGCGCTTGGGATGAAGAAAAAGCTACTGTAGACTTAAAAAGAGCTATTGAATTGAATCCTGCATTGCAAAAAGTAGTTGAACAAGAACTGCAAATATTTACAGCAGCTCTCAAGCAAAAGAATTTACTGGAAAGAAAAAAGTTATCAGCATTATTCAAATGAAGGGTATATATGTACATATGTATATACAATGTCGTAAAAAATCGTAAGATCTAAGCGTCACATATCGTGAAACTGATGGTTTTAACTTTTCAGGTTCAGTTTGTGAGCATTGAAGAAATGTAAATATGTAATGCACAAAGATTTTTATGCTACTTAATAGTTATTAAGAATCGTTATAAATTATTAAGTATACTATCCTTTAGTTTAATCTGAATGTTATTCTTATTGATTGATAAATGTGATATGTATATACTGCAGTAACTATAAATGTAAAAAAACTAATGAAATTGGTAAGGTGTTATTTATGAATTTTGAAATTGTCAAAATTTGTGCACCATATACCATTGTTGTCCAAGCGACTGTTTCCAAAAGTCCATTTTGCTAGTTGAATTTCGCGGCAAATATGAGAATTATATGGCTAGCAGTTTCAGCGATTCGCCACGGATGGCGCAACCGTTCAAAAAAATAGTGGTATTCCGCAATTAAATGCGATTTTAACAGTGTTCTGGTCGTTTATTGTTATTTTCAATCACATGAGATTAATCTACGTTCTTTCAGCTACAAGTTGAGTGCTTGGTCAAGACGAATCAGCCGTAATAGGGTACTAATCTCCATTCTTTAAACTTCGAATGTAATGCATGACGAAGAAAAGTGTTGCCTGTTTAGTGGTATATGTAATTGCAACAGGTTTCGATCGGATTTACACTGCTAAACGAGCATCAGTTTTCCTCGTCATGGATTACATTCGAAGTTTAAAAAACGCAGATTAGTACTCTCTGGCAGGTGGGTACCAATAATTACAAGAACATTGTTGAAATCTTAATTGTCTGCAACGGTTGACACTCTATCTCGCGATGCGTACCCCGTTTAGTTCACTTTGAATAGCTCTTCCAACGTTCTATGGACAAGTTACGTCTTGATCAAGCATTCAGTTTGAAGCCGAAAGAACGTAGATTAATCTCATGTGGTTGAAAATAACAATAAACGATCAGAACACTGTTAAAATCACATTTAATCGCGGAATACCACTATTATTTGTGACCGGTGGCGCAACCCGTGGCGAACCGCTGAAACTACTAGCCATATAATTGGCTAGTAGTTTCAGCGTTTCGCCACGGATGGCGCCACCGGTCAAACCAATCGTGATATTCCGCGATTAAATGTGATTTTAACAGTGTTCTGGTCGTTTATTGTTATTTTCAATGACAGGAGATTAATCTACGTTCTTTCAGCTTCAAACTGAATGCTTGATCAAGACGTAACTTGTCCATGGAACGTTGGAAGAGCTATTTAAAGTGACCTAAACAGGGCACGCATCGCGAGATAAAGTGTCAACCGTTGCAAATAAATCTCATTTTGACAATGTTCTTGTAATTACTGGTTCCCACCTGCCAGAGAGTACTAATCTGCGTTCTTTAAACTTCGAATGTAATTGATGACGAGGAAAACTGATGCTCGTTTAGCAGTGTAAATCCGATCGAAACCTGTTGCAATCACATAACCACTAAACAGGCAACACTTTTCTTCGTCATGCATTACATTCGAAGTTTAAAGAATGTAGATTAGTACCCTATAACGGCTGATTCGTCTTGACCAAGCACTCAACTTGTAGCTGAAAGAACGTAGATTAATCTCATGTGATTGAAAATAACAATAAACGACCAGAACACTGTTAAAATCGCATTTAATTGCGGCATACCACTATTTTTTTGAACGGTGGCGCCATCCGTGGCGAATCGCTGAAACTGCTAGCCATATAATTGGCTAGTAGTTTCAGCGTTTCGCCACGGATGGCGCCACCGTTCAAAAAAAATAGTGGTATGCCGCAATTAAATGCGATTTTAACACTGTTCCGGCCGTTTATTGTTATTATCAATAACAGCGGATTAATCTACGTACTTTCAGCTACAAATTGAGTGCTTCAGCTAAACGAAAGCTGTACGTGTAACGGTGTAAGAGCTGTGCAAAGTGAACTAATCGGTGTACGCATGACAAGATACAGTGTCGACCGTTGCAAATAAAGTGCGATTTTAACAGTGTTCTGGTTGTTTATTGTTATTTTCAATCACTGGAGATTAATCTACGTTCTTTCAGCTACAAGTTGAGTGTTTGGTCAAGACGAATCAGCCGTTATAGGGTACTAATCTACATTCTATAAACTTCGAATCTAATGCACGACGAAGAAAAGTGTTGCCTGTTTAGTGGTTATGTGATTGCAACAGGTTTCGATCGGATTTACACTGCTAAACGAGCATCAGTTTTCCTCGTCGTGGATTACATTCGAAGTTTAAGGAACGCAGATTAGTACTCTGTGGCAGGTGGGAACCAGTAATTACAAGAACATTGTCAAAATGACATTTATTTGCAACGGTTGACACTTTATCTCGCGATGCGTGCCCTGTTTAGTTCACTTTAAATAGCTCTTCCAACGTTCCATGGACAAGTCACGTGTTGATCAAGCATTCAGTTTCAAGCTAAAAGAACGTAGATTAATCTCCTGTAATTGAAAATAACAATAAACAACCAGAACACTGTTAAAATTGCATTTAATCGCGGAATACCGCAATTTTTTCGACCGGTGACGCCATCCGTGGCGAATCGCTGAAACTGCTGGCCATATAATTGGCTAGCAGTTTCAGCGATTCGCCACGGGTGGCGCCACCGGTCGAAAATAATGGTACTCCACGATTAAATGCGATTTTAACAGCTTTCTGAACGTTTATTGTTATTATTAATGAAATGGGGTTAAGCTACGTTCTTTAAGCTACGCGTCGAGTTCTTGGTCAAGTCGAGTGCTGTCCATACAACGCTGTGGGACCCGTCGAAATATGAAGTAAACAAGGAGTGCTTGACGGGACCCAGTGACAACAGTTGCAACAAACATTTATGTATGATTTGAACAATGTTCTTTTGACCAGTGTTTCCCAACAAATAAATTTTATTAATCTACGTTTTTTAAACTTGAAATCTTGTGCTTGGTGAAGACGAGAGCTGTCTGTATATATGTGTGTACTATAACTGCGCGGCTTTGCTTCTAGCCATCTCTAGCACTGATCTGCGCACTCTAGCGCCTCTAGTTCGACTATGGTTACATATGTACATTATTATCTATATAAAAAATTATAAATTTGAATTTGCCTCTGGTCATGTCCAAACGTACCATCGATTTATGGGGATTCAACAAATAATTTGACACTATCTTTCTGCATTCTTCTTCACATGATATAAGAGATCGCTGTCAACACAGCTTAGGACTTTCTATGCATTTAGTTGCAATAGGTTAAGTAAACGGTTTTCACTAGTACTTTTCAGAACTTTCAAGTATATTTCTAATGTCATTAGAAAATGTCGATTGCACGTGGAGCCTTAATAGTTTTCGAAGGATGCGATCGAGCAGGGAAATCTACTCAAGTAAAAATGTTAATCGAGGCACTGAATAAACAAAACATTCCTGCAGAAGCTCGAGCTTTTCCTGGTATATAAGGCCTGTAATTTCTGTTTATATTATGAATAAATCTAATATGTACAATTTTCAAAGAAAAACTTGATCCTTTTTGTTTAGATTTGAAACTCTTTAAATCGTTCTTGAAAATGCGTGCTATGAGTAATATCCAACGTAACGTGATAATTACACTTTATCCGAGATATATCTTCATTCGCATATCGAATCTATAAATTGTCTTCACTTTAGGAAAATACATCGCTTTAAAAATTGAACGAGGTATATTTGTTCGCAGAAAGAAAAACTCCTATTGGATCAATAATTAATGATTTTTTGGCTAAAAAGAAAGATTTATCTCTGGAAGCAATGCATTTATTATTCTGTGCAAATCGGTGGGAATGCAAAGAAGATATTTTAAAAACATTACACAGTGGAACCACCCTTATTGTTGACAGGTAAATTTGAACATTTGTAGTTAGTTTTTAGTATATTACTATTCAGTTTTCGGACGAAGTATTATTATACTAAATTATTAACATTGGGACAGGTATGCAGGTTCAGGAGCTGCTTATACAGCAGCCACAACTGGGAAAAATTTAGCTTGGTGTAAAGAACCCGATAAAGGATTACCTTGTCCAGATATGGTTATTTTACTGAAGATTTCTGAAACATCTCAACGTTTACGTAGTAACTGGGGAGAAGAACGTTTTGAGACCAGTAAACTTCAACGACTTGTAGCTTCAAACTATGAGAAATTGCAGGAGAAAACATGGAGCATTATAGATGCAGATCAGGAACAATCGGTGATACATTCCCAGATCTTAGAAAAGGTTTTAGTTACCGTACAAACTGTTCAGAATTCCACTATTGGTTGTTTATACGACACTAATACATAATAAAGAA